GGGAAAAGGGCCAAGGGGGTCTCATGGCTTTCTACGCCTGGAGTGACAAGGTGCCAGAAGGGGGAGGGGTCAGGGATCAAGACCCGCCTCAGGCAGGAAGCTCAGCGCCCCCCCAGCCCCCAGGCTCCACACTGCCTGGGCAGGGGTGCAGGGGAGGGCGGGGTCTGGCGCCTCATGGTGACAGCAGCAGCTGGATGAGTTTCTGGAACTGCTCTCGGTGCTCGTAGATGTAGACCTCGGTCTCCCAGAGGGCGTTGACCAGCACGGCGTCGCTGACCTCGTCCAGCATGATGTCCGCGCCCAGCTGGGGGTTCAGCCTGTCCCGGCCACGAGCAGGGGTCACCTCAGGGTGCTTGGCCCGGGGCTGGGGGGGGCTTGGGACACCGAAGGGGAGGGCCCTACCTGAAGTACTGGATGCCGACCATCTCGCACCAGGCCCGCGCGCGGTCCACGGCCCGCCCGTCGGGATCCGTGCACTGTGGAGAGGCGGCCTCTGCATGCCCAGCGCCCCCGCGCAGGCTCTGCTGTGTTCCAGAGTCCCCCCGGGGGGCCCCAGTCCCAGCCGCCCAGCAGCAGAGTGACTCTGGGCAAGTCCCCCTCCTCGGCCTGCTGTGATGGCCCCGCTGCGAGGGGCAGGGTTCTGTGGTTGCACAGGTTGGCGGTGGGTGGGGGGCAGTGGCGGAGTGGCCACACCTACGTGTCCCGCTCCCTGCAGCTTCTGTCCGTCTCAGACCCTCAGCTGTGGAAAGTGTCCGCATCTGAGTCCCTGTGGGAGGTGGCTGAGGCCCCTGCCCAGCACTGAGACTGAATCAGGAAGCTCCCTGCAGCCGGGGCCCAGTGGGGAGACCCCCCAAAAAGGGGCCCAGACTCACACAGTCCACCACCATCTTGCCAAGTTCCTTGGCCCCAAAAACAGTCTTGGCCAGCTCCCAGGGGTTGCTGGGGCGGAAGACGTCCACGCAGGTCACGGGCACCTGCGGGGACCTCCCTGTCCCCAGAGAGACAACGATGGAGAGTTTCTTCACCCTTTCGCTCTGACCCTGTTGGGAACAGGGCAGAGAGCGTCAGAGAAGATCTTCCCACGGGGAGGGGCACCCAGGGAAGAGTCAGGAGGAGGCTCCTGGGGCTGGAGCGCACCTGGGCACTAACCTCGGCCCGGTCCCTGGGGGACGGGGTCCTGCCTGTGGCCACCGTGCCATAGCCCCCCCTCTGGAAGCACTGGGGTGGGTGTCATGTGGGGTCTACTGGAAAGCACCTGTGTACCAACAAATATCCACACACCCCTGCTGTGATACACACACGCTCATATATACTCATACGCTCACACAGAAATACACATATGCACTCACACATACTCAAATACACATACACTCACTCACACACATGTACACTCACACACTCACATACATATGCTCCCCACACTCACACAAATACATGCTCTCACACATATACTCAGCCACACACTCATACACTCTCCCTCATATACCCTCACACACTCATACACACATACACACACACACACACAAATACATGCTCTCACACACATACTCAGCCACATACACTCATACACTCTCATATATATCCTCACACACTCACACATAATCATATACACACATACACACACACTCACACAAATACACGCTCTCACACATACTCAGCCACTCATACACTCTCACTCATATACCCTCACACACTCACACATATACACACATACACACACACTCACACAAATACACGCTCTCACACATACTCAGCCACATACACTCATACACTCTCACTCATATACCCTCACACACTCACACATATACACACATACACACACACACTCAAATACACGCTCTCTCACATATACTCAGTCACACACTCATACACTCTCACTCATATACCCTCACACACTCACACATACTCATACACACACACTCACACAAATACACGCTCTCACACACATACTCAGCCACACATACACTCATACACTCTCACTCATATACCCTCACACACTCATACTCATACACACATACACACTCACACACACTCACACAAATACATGCTCTCACACACATAGTCAGCCACACATACACTCATACACTGTCACTCATATACCCTCACACACTCACACATAATCATATACACACATACACACACACTCACACAAATACACGCTCTCACACATACACTCGTACACTCTCACTCATATACCCTCACACACTCATACTCATACACACACTCACACTCACACAAATACATGCTCTCACACACATACTCAGCCACATACACTCTCACTCATATACCCTCACACACACATACTCATACATTCACACTAACACACTCACACACACTCAAATACATGCTCTCTCACATATACTCAGCCACACATACACTCTCACATACCCTCACACACTCACACATACTCATACATATACAAACACACTCACACACACACAAATACACGCTCTCACACACTCAGCCACACATGCACTCATACACTCTCACTCATATACCCGCACACACACTCATACACTCACATACATACATACACAAATACACATATTCTCTCACTCTCACACACACACACAGATGCTCCTCCACACTCACTCACACATACACTCGCTCACACACACATACACTCTCACACACAGACCCTCACATACACATTCATACACAGACTTACATACTCACACATATACACACACTCCTACACACACTCACACTCACACACATACTCACATACATGCACACTCAATGGTCAGTAGAAGTCAGGAATCAGCCTGTGTGAAAAGGGCCTAAGGAAACTGACATCCGCAGCAGTCCAGCACCTGCACTCAAAGTCCTGCCCAGACCCTGATACCCTCCCAGGTGGTCCCAGCCCTTCCCCCAAGGAAAGCTCCCAGGAGAACTCTCTCCCCAGGACCAAATGGGCTACCTGACCTGAGAACATGGGGCAATAAAACCTTCACAGAAACCCTAAGGGAAGCGCCTCCGCTCTGCCCAGTGCCAGCAAATCTGGGGAGGAATCTGCTACTTTTCACCCAACAAACCCTTTCACTAGGGCTCCCCATCCTTTGTCCTGGAGGGGAGGGGGAGGTGGGTAGACAGACTCCATTACAAACTGGGAGTCTAAACAAAGACTGCACACTAGGCCCTCTGCTCTCTGCTGAGCCGCCCGCCTGGCCTGCCCAGGTGTGTTCTCTCCACTGAACCATGGAACCTCGCTCTCCCCCACTCTGAGTGACTGGGCGCTCTCTCTGTCCCTTCCATTCTGATGGATGCCCTGTCCCTAATAACGCCTTATCACTTCGCTGTCTCACGCCTGAATTCTTTCTTGTGTGCAGACAAGAACCCCATGGCGTCCATGGCTCTTTTCTCTGGTAACACACACACATACGCATATACTCTCACATACACACACACGCTCACACTCACACATGTACTCACATACACACTCACACACTCACACACACACTTTCTCTCTCTCTCTCTCACACATACACACACTCACACACTCACAAATACACTCACACACACACTTTCTCTCTCTCTCTCTCTCTCTCTCTCTCTCACACACACACACACACACACACACACACCAGTCTCCGAGTCAAGGCAGGGCAGGGCAGGGCAGGGCAGGGAGACAGGTCCCTGGCGGCTCTTATCTGCTCTTTGCATCATTATCTCATCTAGGACCCCAGCCAGAGGGAGGAGAAGGCAGCCACTGGCCCACTTCACAGGTGGCGAGAGCCTTGGCCATGTGACTGGAAGCAGGGGCTGAGGCTTGAACCTGCGGCCCTGGAGGCTGCTCCTCTCCTTTGCTCTAGAACCAGCTCCTGCTGCCCGTTTGCTGGGTGACCTAGGGCCAGTCCCTCCCACTCGGTCCCAGGATCCTCATTCTTAATAGGACATGACTTAGACTGGACCAGGTCTCAGGACCTGTGTGTCTGTTTTCTTCAGGACGCCCACCAGTCTGGCCCCAAGAGGGCGCTCCCTTCTCTGGCTCCGAGGGCTCCTCCGAGGAGCCCGTCCTGAGTCCCCAGCCTGCAAGCACGGCGCTCGTCCTCCTGGGCCCTGAGCAGTGTCCCCTCTAGACGTGAGCTGGGCAAGGGCAAGGGCGCGTCCCCAGGCTGGGCACCGAGCGGCAGGTGCACAGTGTGCCCGCTGTCCTCCCCACTAGCACCAGATACTCATTGATCCTAACAACTTCCGTCACCCGGTGCGGACTGGCCTCGGAACCCCTCTCGCACGGTGCCTCAGGCAGACGCCGCCGATCCAACAGGCCCCAGTGTGAGAGAACACGGGTCGTGAGCACGGGTGAACGCATGCATGGACGACGGCCCTTGCTCTCCGGGCAGCTGATCCTCGGAGGGCTTGCTGGAGCGGGGCTGGCTGCAGGCACTGGTCCTGTCCACCCCCTCCAGCCCGAGACCCGTCTCACCTTGCGGATCAGGTCCTGGTTGTACTCGTGGATCTCGGTCATGGCGTCCAGCGTGGGGTTGTTGGCCAGCAGCCCGCCGTCCAGGAAGCGCCCATTAGGCCGGAAGTAGGTGGGGGCCGCCCCACTGCTCCGGGCTGCCCGCCACACCAGCTGGTCTGGGGTAGAGCGGTCTGGTGTAAAACCCATGCACTCCCTGCCTCCAGGTCTGCACATGCATGCGTGGCATGGGAAGAGGGAGGCGGGACTCGTCAGAAGCAGGACCCACGGGGCCACCTGTCGCCCTCGGGCTGCCAGCAAGGCCTGTCCGCAGCCAGCAGGGCCCAGGGCAGTGGGCGGCAGGGGAGGGCTGTGGCTGCCTGATGTCAGCCTGCACCTCCCTCCCAGGACCCGGCAGCGGCCTCCCACACATGCCGCGACTGTGGCTGTCACCTGAGGGCTGAGTCAGGGGCTTCAGGTTGATGTTCGGGCTGAAGCGAGGCTCCCGCACGGACTCTGGAGCGTCGTAATTGCGGAAGAGGTGGAGCTCGGCCGGCTGCCGGTCAGACAGTGTCCCCGTCAGCATCACCCTGGAGCGGAACAGGAGACAGCTAGCCACCACCTCTTCCTGCTGTCCTGCCCCTGTCCTTCTCCCCGGATGGGCCTCTCACAGCGCCCAGCGAGGGGACCCGGCGACGCTGGTCCATGCTGCCGATGGGCCTCCCTACCCCAGCTATCCTGGGCGCTCGACCTGAGAGGCCGTCACTCCACGCTGCTAATGACAACATGGGTCATTATAGCAACCGCCTGCAGACAACTCAAGCGTCCACTGCAGGACAGTCTGTCGTGGCACGGCGCACCCACCCCCGGGCTCTGTGTCTCTGCAGGAGGCCTGAGGGAGCGTGTTCCATACTGACGGGGCACAGTTACCAAGATCAATAGTTATTTGCAAAAAAACAAAAAAACAAACAAACAAAAAAAAAGCAAGGTTCAGGGCTGTGTGCTTGGTGCACCATTGTTTAAGACAAAACTACTTACCTACCGTCTGCTTGGGTAGGAGGTGCCTCTGAGAGGACCCCGGGAGGCACCTGGCGGCGGTGAGCCGACTTTGGGAAGGGAACTGCTTGGCGGCTGCAGCGCCAGACAGGAGGGGAGGAGACTTCTCACTGTGTGACCTCCGATGCCTTTCCACGTTCCGCCAGGGAAGTGGGTGGTCCATTGAGGAAGACCCCCGCTTGCCCCGAGACACACACACCTGCACCAGTGCCACCGCAGCCCCTAGAGAACTCTGAAGGCCCTTTCAGAGGCCCTGGGAATCTGACCCGAGAAGCACATCTTGGGCAATCTTCTTAAAGGAGCAAGCTCAACTGCACGAGCGCCTGCGCAGGCTCTTCGCTGCGACACCTGGCAGAGTGGCAAACCAAACTGGGAGAGCAGGAGGGGGACTAGGAAACTGCGACGTTCACCCGCGGGGAGCTCCGCATAACACAGAAGTGTATTTGTCATATTGTGCAGAAAAACACACAGGCAAAGGGACAAAAACTACTTCGGAAAAGAAGTTTCCCACTTCCCCGACCACTGTGGGACTATCGTCTGAAGAACTCTCCCGCTGGACAAAACTGAAATGCTGGGAGAAAGATCTTTAAAAGTCTTCTTCAATGTGCAGAAGGTCTGACAAGATGGAAAGCAAATACCACGGAACTCGGGACGAGCAGGAACTCGGGCAGGTCCGTGAACGCAGCCCCAGCTTCCGGTCTCTGAGGGCAGACAGCAGCCTCTGTCAGTCTGAACTTCCCTAGCCGAGGGCAGCGGAGCGAAGCCCAGGACCCACCAAGGAAGGAGCAGCCTTCCACCTGGGGAAAGGCCCAAAGCTCCACGCCAAGAATTTAAAGTGGCCCTAGACGGCAGCGTCCCCAGTACCGGAAAGAGACAGCATAAAACACTCCTGATGAAGAGACTCTCGTTTTAGACTCCAAAGACTCTGCACATAGTGTTTTTCAACAGCAAAGCACAGCATACATAAGGGGGAAGAAATGGGGGTGGGGGTTACAATGAAATAAAACACCACGAATGAGACCAGTATGAACCAGTATAAATAGTAAAATATACCAAAATAGATTGAGGGTATTTGAATCCTCAAAGATGATAAAACTGCTACACTCACAATGTTTAAGGACATTGAAGACAAATTTGATTTTATCTTCAGGGTATAGAAAACTCTAAGTATTGACCTAGAATATTTAAAGAAGAATGAAAAAGGAGTTCTAGCAATTAATATATATATATATAATAGAATAATAAACTGATTATATGAAAATGAGATAAAGCCAAAGAGAAAATTAGTGAATCAGAAAATAGATAAATTATTCTGAATGTAGCACAGAGATAAATGATAGGAAAATACAAGAGGAGTTAAAAGACATAGCAGAGAGAAAAGGCTTAACATGGTTACCTGGCTTTGCAGAAGGAAAGTAGAAAATTAAGAAGAGATAACAGGGAAGGATATAATAGCTCTTTGAGAAATGAAGACTAATGTAAGGGTTCAAAACGGCCACCAAATCCCATACAGTGTAAAGTAGAAGGAATTCACACCCAGATACATAACAGAGCAACTGTAAAAGACCAGTTACTCTCAAAGCAGCAACACACACTCTCCAATGGTCATGTTAGGTGGGAAGTCAGAAATGAGCTCATGTGTGTGACAAAGGCCTAAGGAGTCGACATCTACAGTGGTCCAGCATCCGCATCTCAAAGTCATCCCGATAACCTTCCAGGTGCAGCCCAGCATCTGCACTTCAATCGTCTGCCCGGATCCTGATGACTTTCCGGGGGTCCTGCCCCTTCTACCTGATAAACATCCTTCCTCTAAGGTGGGGTGACGCCAGCCAGGCTTCCCCTGTCTGGTATTCAATGGGAAAGACTCAGAAAGGAATTTTTTTTGTATTTACATCCAACAAGTCCTTTGTTCTGAGAGGAGAAGGAGAAGAAGGGGAGGGAAGGCAAGACCCATCCCCTTAAAAACCCCGGCCTAGATGTGCACTGCGCACTCTCTCTCAGGTCCTGTCTGGAGAGGGGCCCGTCCGTTCTTACGGACGTCCCTGCCCTAATGAACCTGCTGTGTTGCTTTCCCCTGCTCTCTGTCTCACACCTGCATTCTTTCTCGCGTGAAGACAAGGCCCCTCTGCTCCTCCAGTAACAGTCACAATGGCCAGCACAAAGCCAGGAGCTTCTCCCAGGCCTCCCACGAGGGTAGCAGGGGCCCAAGCACCTGGGCTGTTCTTTGCTGCTTTTCCCAGGTGCATTAGCAGGGAGCCGGATGGGAAGTGGAGCAGCGGGGCCTTGGGCTGGTGCCCGTGTGGGATGCCAGCGCCGCAGGCAGCGTCTTCATCCACTACACCCCCGTGCGGGCACCAGAGCTTCAGTGCTACGGGGCGACAAAGCTCTGGAAATCAGCTGTGCCACTGTGTGCGTTACCTCCCACCACCGAACCTGAAGAGGGCTACGACGGAAACTCCTGGGTGCTGTGTCACCACCATGAAAACATTTTAAATAAGCAAATACGGTTTACTTCTCAACACCGGCAATGGTTAGAAAATGAATGTCTGAAAGTGGATAATCCGCCACAACACGAGGCACAGGGCGTGCCTGAGGGCAACCTCGTCCTGCGACTCTGCACTCGCCGTTCCCTGACGGGAGGCTCTGCGTCTCCAGACGCCCACCCCCAAATGCAGGCTCAGGGCACCCTCAACCCTCAAGCCAGGACAGGACTGTGGTGCAGGGTGCAGGCCCTCCCCATCCCCGCAGCGGCTTCCCCTGCCGCCCCCACGCACCACGTGGGTTGCCCCCCCAGCTGGGCAACCGTGCTAGGAGCGAGACAGTCGTGTTCCCGGCTGCCCGGGAATCCCACCAGGATCTGATCTCCTGCCGAAGCCAACACTGTGACGGCTGCTCGCACGAGGGTGCAAACGGCTCACAGCCACACAGCAGTCCTGTGTGCCAGGGCCTTCAAAGTGGGCTAGGGAACGCTGACCTTTGACCCCTCTGGAAGTGCTGGGAGGTGGGTCATGCTTATAATCCCTTCTCTACCCCAGCTCCTCGAACAGCCGCAGTACAAAGAGGGACGAGTGGGGACTTGCTGACGCCCGGACTTCTTAGACGCTTCTGTCATCAAGGCTGTGCGGCCCCAGTGCAGGGAACCAGGCACAGCCTGGAGCGCCCTCCGCACTGCTGAAGAAACAGTGCCCGAGAGTCGGGAGGGTAGAAGTCTTTAGAGGAAGAAAATCAGGTAATCACGGGGAGGACATGTGGTTGTACCTGCTTCTCCCTGACACAAAAGCACTTCCAGAGGAGAGAAGACCACAACGCGAAAGGCAGACTTAGGGTGGGCGTTTGGCCTGGCAGCTGAACCCCCATTAATACACCCCCATCCTGCACTGGAGCGCCTGAGGGCGGTACCAGCTCTGGTTCCTGGCTCCAGCTTCCTGTCAATGCAGGCTCTGGGAGGCAGCGGTGATGGCCAGGTAACTGCTCCTGCCAGCCTGGGAGACCTGGATTCCAGCAGAGCCTCCGGCACAGCGTCTGGCTCGGGGCGGAGGCTAAATCCATGACTCCTCCTGGGACAAGCGGCAAATACGCCAGCGTGGACGAGAGCACCATCCAATCACCAGAAGACAAAGGGGATCAACGTCAGGGTCAGAGCCGGCAGCAGTGAAAACCAGCGGAAGGACAGGCCGAGGGTGCAGTGGCCGGCTGCCCAGCTCTGCTCCGGCCCTGCCCCGGGGTGACTGGAGACCACCTTCTCTGTAGAGAGCCTCCATCTTGACACAGGAGAGGCTGTGCTCCCTCAGGCTAGGAAAGGGGTTCTCAGGTGAGGCTCTGAAAACAAACCAGAGGCGTGGTGCCTGGGGAGGGGTGCACGGGGAGGATGCGTGGGGAGGGTGCGTGGGGAGCGGTGCCTGGGGAGGGGTGTACGGGAAGGGTGTGTGGGGAGCAGTGTGTGGGGAGGGGTGCGTGGGGAGGGTGCGTGGGGTGGGTGCGTGGGGAGCAGTGCCTGGGGAGTGGTGTACCATATGGGTGCCAGTTCAAGTCCTGGCTGCTCCACTTCCAACCCAGCTCTGCTATGGCCTGGGAAAGCAGTAGAAGATGGCCTAAGTCCTTGGGCCCCTGTACCTGTGTGGGAGCCCCAGAGGAGGCTCCTGGCTCCTGGCTTCAGATTGACACATCTCTGGCCATTGTAGCCATCTGGGGAGTGAACCAGCAGATGGAAGATCGATCAATCGATCTCTCTCTCTCTCTCTCTCTCTGCCTTTCAGATAAATAAATAAATCTTTAAGAAAAAAAAACCCAAACTATAAAAAAGGAGACTATAAAATTGCTACATTAAGAATGTCTATGTGTCAAAAAACATCATAGAAAAAGCGAGAAGACAAGCCACAGGGTGGGAGAAAATACTTCAATCCTGTCAAAGGACACCCTTGGGAAATATACACAGATCACTAAGAAGTCACAGCACTCAAAAATCATTCAACCAGGGGCTGGTGCTGTGGCAAACAGGTTAAGCTACCAACCTTGACATCAGCCTCCCTTACTGGAGCGCAGGTTCTAGTCCCGGCTGCTCCACTTCCCAGCCAGCTCCCTGCTAATGCACCTGGGAAAGCAGCAGTGATGGCCCAAGTGCTTGGGCCCTGCCACCATGTGGGAGACCTGGATGGAGCTCCTGGCTCCTGACTTCTGCCCAGCCCACCCCTGGCCATCGCAGCCATTTGGGGTGCGAACCAGCAGATGAAAGCTCTCTCTCATTCTCTCTGGTACTCTACCTTTCAAATACATCTTAAAACAAACAAACAAACAAACAAACAAACAAAAAAAACCAAAACCACACAATCCAATTTTGCCAAAACAACTAGGCAAGACTGCAGAATGGGAACTTTACAAAAGGGGAAATGCAAGCAGCCGCACCACACAGAAAGGCATTCGGTGTCGCTAGGAACCAGGAAGATGAAAATTCAAGCCACGGTGAGACAGCACGTTACAGCCCCAGACTGCCAAGACGGAGGTGACAGTGACCAAAGGTGGGCAACAGGGCAGGCGACAGAAGTTCCGAGCCCTGGGACCCCGCCAGGGGGCTGAAGACAGAAACCAATGCCGACGACAGGAGGCACAGTGCCCCCGAGCTGAGGCCATGCACCCTTGGGGTGCGACAGCCCCACTCCTAGACACGCACCCTAGAGAAGGGCATGCCCAAAATGTTCACGGCTGGACTCTGGGCAGGAGCCGGGGACAAGAATGGCCTCCACGACTGCCACAGGCCCACGGGGTGGCCAGCGGCGGGGCTGTCCACGGGCCTGTGGGGTGGCCAGCGGTGGGGCTGTCCACAGGCCCGCGGAGCGGCCAGCGGCGGGGCTGGCCACGGGCCTGTGGGGTGGCCAGCGGTGGGGCTGTCCACAGGCCCGCGGAGCGGCCAGCGGCGGGGCTGTCCACGGGCCTGTGGGGTGGCCAGTGGTGGGGCTGTCCACAGGCCGGACCCGCCACAGAGAACAGAACAGGTAGGGCAGCAGGGAGGTGCTGACACACGCAAGGTGGAGTGAAGCAAGGGGAACCCGCCCACAAGACCCACCCCTCGAGCTCTGGCAATGCCGTCACAGGCGGGACACGGCACACACGCACCAGGAACCCAGTCTCACCCAGCAGGAGGCAGGAGCCGGGGTGGGGGTGGGGGGTGGGGCCTGTGGTGGCCAACAGTTAGGTGGGTGTTTTCTGACGACTCATTAGCCTGTTTATGGACTTGTTAAAATGCACATTGTGTTTCACCATGAAAAAGAAAAAAATGTCTAGAACGAAATTAAGTGTTTAAAAACATCTTTTTGAGGTTAATAAACAGGATTGTTTTCTTCCCTAAAAAAAAAAAATCTTTTGACAAATTTTCTTTACTTTGTATCTCTTCTAAATTTCCTTAAAAGACTATGTATTATTCTTTTTAATTTTATAATTTTTTAAATTTATTTGACAGGTAGAGTTACAGACAGTGAGAGAAAGAGACAGAGAGAAAGGTCTTCCTTCCGTTGGTTCACTCCCCAAATGACCGCAACGGCCGGCGCTGTGCCAATCCAAAGCCAGGAGCCAGGTGCTTCTTCCGGGTCTCCCATGAGGGTGCAGGGGCCCAAGGACTTGGGCCATCTTCTACTGCTTTCCCAGGCCACAGCAGAGAGCTGGACTGGAAGAGGAGCAACTGGGATTAGAACCCAGCACAGGGCCGGCGCCGCGGCTCACTAGGCTAATCCTCCGCCTTGCGGCGCCGGCACACCGGGTTCTAGTCCCGGTCGGGGCGCCGGATTCTGTCCCAGTTGCCTCTCTTCCAGGCCGTCTCGGTTGCCTCTCTTCCAGGCCAGCTCTCTGCTGTGGCCCGGGAGTGCAGTGGAGGATGGCCCAAGTGCTTGGGCCCTGCACCCCATGGGAGACCAGGAGAAGCACCTGGCTCCTGGCTCCTGCCATCGGATCAGCGTGGTATGCCGGCCGCAGCGCGCTGGCTGCGGCGGCCATTGGAGGGTGAACCAACGGAAGGAAGACCTTTCCTCTCTCTCACTGTCTAACTCTACCTGTCAAAAAAAAAAAGGGGGGGGGGACAAGAAAATGTTTCTTATGAAAAGGAATTCCCCCTAGTCCACTTTGCTTCCTCTGGGAAGCCCTCTCACCGGTCAGCCAGTCAGTTGATGGACACTGATAAATGGCCTGCTCTGTGGCAGGCACTGTGCTAGGCGCCACAGTCGTGATTCTGGCTGTCACTCAGGGCAGGGCCTACAAAGCAGCAGTTCTGGGGCCTCTCCTGGAATCTCCTCAGTGCCCACTGCCCTGCCTGGCTGCTACACACTGGCTTATTTGTCTCCCAAGCAGATGGCCAGTGGGCTCCGGCCTGCTCACCTGCTGCGCTCAGCAGGGGGCTCCCATGCGGTGGGTAAGGACAGACCCCTCCCTTGGACCCGGGGCTGGGCCAAACACCAGGAGGTGGTGACAGCTGGTGTGGCCTCAGATGTGCAGCCGCAGGACGAGGAAGTGACAACTGACCCGGGGCTGCGGGACACTGGGGGAGCCGGTTAAGCCTCGGTCAGACACAAAGTGCTGAGTGTGTGAGGGCAGCATCTGGGGGCCACAGGGATGCCCCGCTCTGCCATCTCCCCAGGGAGGAAATGAAGCCACAGGTGAGCCCCCACTGTGCGCTGTCTCCCTCCTCTGGCCCACAGGCTCCGAGCTCAGGTAAGGAGGCTGCCCTAGCATGGCACCCAACTCCCTCAGCTTTCTGCACTGCCTTCCCCGTGTTCACAAGAAAGGGAACCCCACCGGCTTCCCACAAACCCACTGTTGCTGTGATTAGACGTGAGCACGAACGAGCTCGCCAGGGGACCACACAAGACCATCGCCACGGGACCACAGGAAAACATCGCCAGGGGACCACACGAGACCATCACCACGGGACCACAGGAGACCATCGCCACGGGACCACATGAGACCATCGCCACGGGACCACACGAGACCATCGCCACAGGGCCACATGAGACCACCACCAGGGGACCACAGGAGAACATCGCCACGGGACCACACGAGACATCGCCACGGGACCACACGAGACCATCGCCACAGGACCACAAGAGACCATCGCCACGGGACCAAACGAGACCATCACCACGGGACCACAGGAGACCATCGCCACAGGACCACCAGAGACCATCGCCACGGGACCACAGGAGACCATCACCAGGGGACCACACGAGACCATCGCCAGGGGACCACATGAGACCATCACCAGGGGACCACAGGAGAACATCACTACAGGACCACACGAGACTATTGCCACGGGACCACAGACCATCACTAGGGGACCACAGGAGACTATCCCAAAGGAGACCATCACCAGGAGACCACAGGAGACCATCGCCACGGGACCACACGAGACCATCGCCACAGGACCACACAAGACCATTGCCACGGGACCACACAAGACCATCGCCACGGGACCACACGAGACCATCACCAGGGGACCACATGAGACTATCCCACAGGAGACCATCACCAGGGGACCACAGGAGACCATCGCCACAGGACCACACGAGACCATCGCCAGGGGACCACACGAGACCATCACCAGGAGACCACACAAGACCATTGCCATGGGACCACATGAGACTATCGCCATGGGACCACACGAGACCATCACCAGGGGACCACACAAGACCATCACCAGGGGACCACAGGAGACCATCGCCACAGGACCACACGAGACCATCGCCATGGGACCACACGAGACCATCACCATGGGACCACACGAGACCATCGCCACAGGACCACACGAGACCATCACCACAGGACCACACGAGACCATCACCAGGGGACCACACAAGACCATCACCAGGGGACCACAGGAGACCATTGCCACAGGACCACATGAGACCATCGTCAGAGGACCACACGAGACCATCAACAGGGGACCACACGACACCATCAACAGGGGACCACACGAGACCATCACCAGGGGACCATAGGAGACCATCGCCACAGAACCACACAAGACTATCACCAGGAGACCACACAAGACCATCGCCACGGGACCACAGGAGAACATCGCCACAGGACCACATGAGACCATCGCTAGGGGACCACATGAGACTATCCCACAGGAGACCATCACCAGGGGAACACAGGAGACGATCGCCACGGGACCACAGGAGACCATCACCAGGGGACCACAGGAGACCATTGCCACAGGACCACACAAGACTATCACCAGGGGACCACACAAGACCATCGCCACAGGACCACAGGAGACCATTGCCAGGGGACCACACGAGACCATCGCCATGGGACCACACGAGACCATCGCCACAGGACCACACGAGACCATCACCACAGGACCACAGGAGACCATTGCCAGGGGACCACAGGAGACCATCGCCACAGGACCACACGAGACCATCGCCAGGGGACCACACGAGACCATCACCAGGAGACCACACAAGACCATTGCCATGGGACCACATGAGACTATCGCCATGGGACCACACGAGACCATCACCAGGGGACCACACAAGACCATCACCAGGGGACCACAGGAGACCATTGCCACAGGACCACACGAGACCATCGCCATGGGACCACACGAGACCATCACCATGGGACCACACGAGACCATCGCCACAGGACCACACGAGACCATCACCACAGGACCACACGAGACCATCACCAGGGGACCACACAAGACCATCACCAGGGGACCACAGGAGACCATTGCCACAGGACCACATGAGACCATCGTCAGAGGACCACACGAGACCATCAACAGGGGACCACACGACACCATCAACAGGGGACCACACGAGACCATCACCAGGGGACCATAGGAGACCATCGCCACAGAACCACACAAGACTATCACCAGGAGACCACACAAGACCATCGCCACGGGACCACAGGAGAACATCGCCACAGGACCACATGAGACCATCGCTAGGGGACCACATGAGACTATCCCACAGGAGACCATCACCAGGGGAACACAGGAGACGATCGCCACGGGACCACAGGAGACCATCACCAGGGGACCACAGGAGACCATTGCCACAGGACCACACAAGACTATCACCAGGGGACCACACAAGACCATCGCCACAGGACCACAGGAGACCATTGCCAGGGGACCACACGAGACCATCGCCATGGGACCACACGAGACCATCGCCACAGGACCACACGAGACCATCACCACAGGACCACAGGAGACCATTGCCAGGGGACCACACGAGACCATTGCCAGGGGACCACACAAGACCATTGCCATGGGACCACACGAGACCATCACCAGGGGACCACACAAGACCATCACCAGGGGACCACACAAGACCATCGTCACAGGACCACAGGAGACCATTGCCACAGGACCACATGAGACCATCGCCAGAGGACCACATGAGACCATCAACAGGGGACCACACAAGACCATCACCAGGGGACCACGTGAGACCATCGCCACAGGACCACACAAGACTATCACCAGGGGACCACACAAGACCATCGCCACAGGACCACAGGAGACCATTGCCAGGGGACCACATGAGACGATCGCCACAGGACCACACAAGACCATCACCAGGGGACCACAGGAGGCCATCACCAGGGGACCACACGAGACCATCGCCACAGGACCACAGGAGACCATTGCCAGGGGACCACATGAGACAATCGCCACAGGACCACACAAGACCATCACCAGGGGACCACAGGAGGCCATCACCAGGGGACCACACGAGACCATTGCCACAGGACCACAGGAGACCATTGCCAGGGGACCACACGAGACCATCGCCACAGGACCACACGAGACCATCACCAGAGGACCACATGAGACCATTGCCATGGGACCAAGCCGGGGCACCTTGCTCTCCACAGGCCACTCTTCACGTTGGAGAGATGGTTTTCCCTTGCAGGAGTCAATGTCTGGGGCATGGTCGCAGGCCCTTGGCTGGGGCTCTGAAAGTTCTAGCCCAGCCTTTGTGTGGAGCCCAGTGCAGTCTCAGAAAGGGTGGAGGCCCAGGACCCAACCCTCCTGGGTCCCTCCTGGGTCCCTCCTGCCCAGACATGAGCTCTCCACCTCCACAAAGCCCACCCACCATCCTCGGCAGGTAGGAGAGCTGCCCTTACCCTTCCTCAGCTTCTTGGCCTAATCACTGGAGGAGGTGACGGAGCCTCCACTTTGTCTACACAGTGCAGCAGCAGGGTGGGAGGGGCTTAGCGTGTCCTTGCCCTGGGAGGGCTTCCAGGGCACTCCACAGGGGTGCGCCCCTCTCCGTCCCCACCAGGAACAGCCAACCACCCTGTGGGACACACCCTCTGCCCGGTCCTGGGCTGACCCTCCTGGAGCTGTGTCTCAGAAACAGGACTCGCTCCTTAGGTCTCTGCTCCGACTCAGAGGGGCTCACAGCTGTAGGTTTAAATGTAAGGTGGAAGGGAGGCTGCCTGGCCCGAGTGGGTGGGAAGAACTGCTCCCCCCCCGCCCCAGGCGTTATTCAGAGCAGGACTGGGGCCCTCTGCCCCCGGGAGCAGCTGACAGGTGTGCAGTGGCGGCAGTGGGGATGGGGGTGCTTACTTGGGTTTCTTGACGTCTGTCATCTTGGTGTGCTCCCCGAACTCCCGCTTCAGGAACTCCTCCAGGGGCCCCGACTCATAGGGCCGCGAGCCCCGGAACACCTCATCCTTCATGCGGAAGTACACGCCACGCATGTAGGCCATGGACTTACCTAGGAACGAGGGTGGGAAGTAAGAGACACCAGGGCCACACGCGCCTGCCAAGGGGTGAGACCACTGATGGGGCCAGCAATGCTGGGGAGGCAGCAGGGGGGGACATTCGCCAAGGAACGCGTCAGCCTAAGCTTCAGGCCTTCCTCTGTGACTTCACACAGGGGCAGGCGTCCACCCCAACGGGCCCACGGCTCTGCCCCTCGTTCCGTATTATTTTCCTTAAAGAAGGGCCCCCGAGGTTTGCAGCTTGTAGGGCTTAGAGCCACCCTGTCAGCCACGGAGGAGGAGTGCCCTGTCCTCTGCACCTGCAGAACAGATGCAGTCAAGGGGCAGGAAGCAGAAGCTGCCCCTCGGCCTCATCAACCCCCCGTGCCTGCGTGTGCCGGTGCAGCGCGGCCGAAGCAGAGCTTCTGCCCGTGGGAGAAACTCGACCAGCAACTTCTCAAGCCCCTTCCGTAGCTCCCAGAAGTCTGAGGAGCCCAGTTCGGGAGAACGGCCCCCAGAGGAAAGCAGGCCCCCTGGAGAAGAGACCAGGGCCTGCGCCGGCTCTGGCCACACGACCTTCCTGGAGGTTCTGGCTTCTGAGATGGCTCTTCCCTCCCGGAGGGTAGAGATGGAGACCAGAGAGGGACGTGCGCCTCTGAGGCTGGGGGAGAGCCGTGCTGGCTCTGCCCAGCTCACAGGCGCTCGTGTCCCCATCTGCTCACCCCACAGGGCCATGGTGGCAATCATTAAAACAAAACGAAATTCTCATCAGTACACATGGGCGTGAGCACTGCCTGAGCCCCCTGGGGCACTGCTCTCTGCAGCTTCAGGGCTGGCTGCCCTTGGCGTGCCTGCTGTGGCCTTCTCACATGGCCCAGTCAATGTCCAGAAGCCGGCACCCCCCACATGAGGCGAGTGTGGGCCTGACTCGGCCCTAGTGCCCAGCACAGGCACCTCCAGGGCTTCAGATCACAGGATGCGAACTCGGAGGATGTTCAGAGAGAACGGAATCTGACAGCTGGTGTTTCAGAGCTTTGGGGAAGAGAGGGCTTTGGGGCAGCCCTGTCTCCCCGGTCAGCATAACGCAGTCCAAAAAGCTCCCTGGAGGAGACACCACTGGAGTCACGGCATCAGCCTAGCCAGCAGCCTTTCCAGTGGGCCAAGTGCAAGGCCACAGTGAAGGGAGGCCGTGGCAGTGGCCTGGGACATACTGAGTCTGGGGGAGTGCACTCGGGCCTGAGCAATCCCAAGGAGTAGCCATGAGACTTTTGCCACCACTCCCCACCCAGGGCCTTAGTTTCCTGTGGGTCAGTGGTGTGTTCAGAGCAGGGTGGTTCTCCTTGTCTGGAGACAGGAGCTGAACACAGTGGGAACGGGTGGCATAGGCAACCAATCTACAGATTCTTCCTACACTGGAAGTGAGCACCAGCTCTGCCCTGGTGGCCAGGCCAACGGACAAGGCCAACTGCAGCCCCTACGAGGGGCCTCCAGGCCCACCCCTGCCCCACAGCCCTCTCTCCCCCGAAGCTCTAATAAAGGACTCAGCCCTGCTGAGGGCCGGTCTCAGCCCCTCCCCACCCGGCCACCCCAGGAGTGGGCTCACTGTGTAGGATGGCCAGGGCCAGGATGCCGCCAGTGCTGGTCCCTGCCACCCAGTCGAAGAGGTCCTTGGTGGCCACGCCTGAGGCCTTCTCGATGGCGATGAGGAGCTGGATGATGACGAGGCCTTTCACGCCCCCGCCGTCCAGGCAGAGCAGGTGGTCATGGCTGCAGTGGGCACAGCAGTGGAGACGGGGGTCCTGTCACCACCTGGCACGGATGCCTCATGCTTCCTCAGCCCGTGCCCCCCGCACGCATGGTGGTTGCAGGAGCAGACAAGACCTGCCCTCGTGGCACAGTGCGGGAGGCAGGGAGGCGTGGTGTCTGGCGGGGACAATGGCTCTAGTACAATAGCAGGGCAGCAGGGGCGGGGACGCCTCACAGAGCAGGTGCCATCCCCCCAGACACTGCCTGGACGGGGGATTTGCTAAGGGCCCACGACCAGGCCTGATGCAAAGCAGGTACCTGACAAGTCTGTCTGGATTAATCAGGCTAGGAAGGAAGAGCTGGGGCGGTGTGTGTGTGTGGTGGGGGGGTGGTGTCAGGACCCTCTGTTCAGCCTGGGAGATGCACGGTGGGAGGGGTAGGAGGAAGGACGTGGACATGCCAGGGCCTCACCTCCCTGTCCTGAACCCCTCTGAGGTGACACCTCCTGCTACCCCCATGCGTATTTTTGGATAAGGAAGAGGCGACAGTCACACAGCTGACTTGAGACCACCATAACCCCAGGTGCTTCCGACTCTCACTCAGCCCCACCTGGTCCTGCTACACACTCTGCATCTCCTCCTCTGGCCAGGAAATGCCAGTCCTCCCTCAGGTACAGCTGCCCATATATGCATGTGTGTGTGTGCATGAACAGGTGTGTGTTAGGTGCACACGAAGAGGGAAGGCCAGGATGCTGCTGGAACAGGTGTGTCTCTGGGGCAACCAAGGGGATGCTGGCACCCACAGGCAAGAGTCATCAGGGCCGCGGGACGTGGCTGCCTGGGAGTAGCGGCTGCCATGCGATTCCAAAAGCAGAGCTTCCCCTGCAGGTCAGGCAGCAAGGCCGTGGGGTTGGAGACCAGGGCGGGGCCGTGGCCCTGAACTCAGTCTGCAGCCTGAGCAGCCATGGGCCTCCCAGGGACTCCCAGGACTGTGTCTGCATGGCACCAGTGCTGATCTCCTCCCGCCCCCATGCAGGGCAGGTCGCAGGAACACGAGGAAGCAATAAAAAACAAATAAACAACCTGTGCTCAGAGGGACGGAGCAGAGCACACAGCTGGTTGGAAACGCATTTGTTCCGGTAACGTCTGTGGCAGCTGGCACTGATTCTGGACGCCAGGTTCTGTGCCTCAAGGGCAGGGCTTGGGCCTCTTCTTGTTGTGGCCCCTGGAAGGGCCTGGGTACACAGCAGGTGCTTGGGAAAGCGCTCACCCACTACTCTGGGCAGGGAGCTGGGTAAGGGATCAGGCAGGGTAGGAGGAAGACTGCTGAGCTCGCTCTGCACGAAGGATCCGGGCGACACTCGCCTCCCCAGACCAGGCTGATGTCTAGGAGGGAAGCAAGAGGGCCATCCTGGGCCTGCCTCCTCCCAGCTGCATGGCCTGCACCGTCTGTCATGGATGAACCAGCCGAGAGTGCCAGGCTCAGTCTGCTGTGAACTGCAGAACCGGGAGAATCCTCACGGGCCATGGTGGGGATGAGACAAAAGCCCCAAGAGCACCGGAGGCACCAGCAGAGGCTGTGCCGTGGGCCCCTGGCTCTCGCCCACTTACGTCCGCTTCTCGTCCCTCAGGGAGCTCAGGATAAACGCCGGCTTCCGGGCCCGGGAGATGTGCATGACATCCTGCAGTTCTGCAAGGCACAGGGCAGGCGTGGGGCCAGGCTCACCCCTCCAGCCCCCCAACCTGGGACTGCGCCCCACATGTGCCCAGGGCCGAGCTCCCGCCCCCACCCCTAACCCCATCATCTGCCTCTGCCGAGGCCCCAGGCCTGCCGGGTGGGGGGCCTGCCAGGGCGGCACGGAGCCTGCTGCTCTGGGAAGGGCTCTCCACCCACCCAGCCAATTTCCAGATGCTGCTCCAAGTCCTCCTCCTGGCACCCTGATATGGGGCACCCCTGCTGTGTCCTGAGGCCTGCCAGTCACAGAGCTGCTTTGTGAGCCAGAGCCCAGGCTGCTGACATCCACCCTCGGGCCTAAGAACTGTTATCCCCAGTCACAGACTCGGAGACACCGTGACTTTCCAAAGTCACTGGACCAAAGCGCTGAGTCTACGTGTCCTTAGGGAGTCGCCTCCCTGGACGATGGGAGATTAACAACTGATCTCTAGATGGCCCTGTCTTGATCCCGCAGGTCGGGAAGCACCCTCAGCGGCCTCAGGTGCACCCACCCACCCCACCCACGTCTTCCCTGGTGCCCCAGGCCCTCCCCACACCCACCCTCCGGGCAGGCAGCACAGCAGCCGGGGCCCCGCCCACCAGGGCCTCCCAGCACTGCGCAGGAAGGCTGGAAGCAGCAGGGCAGCAGGCAGTGCGCCCCTCACCAGGGCGAGCAGCACAGTGGGCGCAGCCAGCGCCAGGCAGAGGGACAGTGTGTGGTGTGCGACTGGGGAGGAGGAAGAGGGAGCAGGACGAGAGCTACAGCTAGCACGGGCGTGACTGGGCTCTGCTGCCTCGCGAGGCCCAGGCTTTACCAACGTGCCGCAGCGCCCCAGGCCCGCCATCCAGCCTGGCTCGGGTGACCACCTGCCTGTAAAACGGAGAGACAGAGATGGGGCAGGGCCAGCAGGAGTAACTGTGGCTGCTGCTCTGCTTCCGGCGGGGCTGGTGTCTGCCTCCTGCTCAAAGCAAAGCCTCTCTTGCCAGACTGGTTCCCAGCTGCCCTCCGTTCAGGGGATCCCACGCCCAATCAGGCGAGAACCCACAGCAGGGCCCCCATCCTCTGGGGCTGTCTCCATGGACACCAGGGATGAGTGTGGCAGAGGCCAGGTGCTTGCTTATTAGCTGGAGGTCACTGGAGAGGCCAGCAGGGGGCACACGGGCCTCAGGCCCAGCAGATCCAAACTGTAGAGGGAGCCAAAGCCAGAAGCCAGAGACTTGGGGCCCCTAACAGCACTCCTCACTGCCCACCCTGAGCTGCGGGGGGACAAGGAGAGGCAATCAGAGCGCCTGCCTCACGGGTGCTGTGGGAAACGCCTGACCTGAGACCCAGGTCCAGGACATCCTCTCAGGGGCAAAGAACCGTGCAGCCTCAGCCAGGGGCCCCGGGCCTCGGCGTCACCAGCTGCCCACAGAGGCTACCATTCTGCCTTTTCCTCTCAGGCTCCCTTCAACCACGTCCACCCCAGGACCCTGCTTCTCTCCAATCAGGACTGCCTCTGATCCAAGGCCCTGGGCGCCTGCTGGGGGAGGGCACGTGGGGCGAGTGGCCTACCTAGGTTGTTTAAGCTGATCGGCGGGGGCTGAGCTCTCTCCAGGGAGAAGAAGGGGTGATGTGATGCCGCGGAGCCCTGCTCCGCGGGGACCCCTTGGAGGAGTGGGAAGCGGTGGTCGGCCCCCACAGTTCTCAGCAGAGTCAAGAGCGCCTTCCTGGTGACAACTTGTCATGGTTGGGGGAAGGGAGATTGCACAGGATAGAAATGGTGTCAACATGCAAGTGAGAGGCCCCCCCTTTCCGCACATGGTTCCCTGCCCATCTTCCAGGAACCTGGGTGTGAGGGGAGCCACCCTGGCAGGGCTGCCTCTGCTCCGTTCCACCCAGAGCGGCCTCCCAGGCCCAGGGAAGGCGCTGGGAGCTGACCATGGGAGTGGCAGGAGGGGTGAGTCGCTTGCCCGATTATTTTCAGAATCCTGTCTTTCCTTCTGTACCAGCCTAAAGCAAGGGCTTCCCACCTCCACAGTCAGCGGCTCTCACAAATGCTGTGTGGACAGTTCCTTTCAGAGGTCAAAAGGGACGAGCCAGCCAGCCAGGGGCGCTCACCCCCATTTAACAGCTGTGAGGACTGACAAGGGTGCCACAGGAGGCAGTGTGGACACACACACACACAGGGACGCACACAGGGGCACACACGTGGACACAGGCACACACACTCAATGGTAGCCCCCACGGCTCCCTGAAACCCTGCAGAGGGGCCCAGGCTTCTGCAGCCAGGCTCCCTGGGTGAGCATGCCATGCATGCACAGCGCCTCATGTGCACAGGGCGTGCGTGGGGCTGGGGCAGCACAGCGCATGCTCTGACCCTGTGGCTGTTCTTGCGAGTGGTTCCATCGGTGCGCTCACCAACAGTAAAGAGGAGGCTGCAGCTGCCTACCCCACCCTACCCCTGCTGGGAGTCAGAATCCCTGAGATGGGGCAGGAAGCTTCTTGAAAGGCAGTCCTGGCTTGGCAAGCCCTGAGTGGGCCTGCATCTGCTGCGTGGGGCCCTCTCTGAGTGGCCTGGCCTTTGTCAACATCCAGGGAGCATCTGGGGCCATCGGCACAGAAAACCCTGGCACCGGTGCCCGGGGCTCCCTTCCTCCAACCCCTACACCTTGACTCTGGTCCCGGAGAGCAGAGCACATACGTTTGCTGATCTTGGAGGCTATGAAGGCAGGAGTCTCCCCGAAATCATTGGGTGTGTCCACCTCTGCCCCAAACACGATGAGGGCCTTGACCATCTCCACGTTGTCTTTCTGTCGGGGATGGAGGGGGGACACAACAGCTCAGGGAGATGAAGACGGAAAGGAGCCGGGGCCCTCCCTGGCCCCCACACCCAGGGGATCTGCTCTCTCAAGGTCTGCATGTTGAAGGTGGGGGCCTGATAGATGGGCGTATCCATCAGTATATCCCCAGGGGGTATACTCCAGCAAACACTGGAGGCCACTTGGGCCAGCTCCTCCTCACGGGCAGCAGTGTGTCTGTGGCCCTGACCTGGGAGCCTGGGGTACCCTGAACGGTGAGCTCTGGAAGCTTTAGGGAGGGGCAGGAAGTGAGTGAGGGAGGACAGGTAACTGCCTTGCTCACCCAGCCCAGGCCACCATGTCTGAAAGGTAACTCGGCGGCACCCTTCAAAGGGAGCTTCAGGGGGCTGGTGCTGTGGCGCAGCGGGTAAAGCCACCAGCAGTGCCGGCATTCCACATGGGCGCCGGTTCGAGACCTGGCTGCTCCACTTCCCATCCAGTTCTCTGCTATGGCCTGGGAAAGCAGTGAAAGATGGCTCAAGTCCTTGGGCCCCTGCACCCGCATGGGAGACCTGGAAGAAGCTCCTGGCTCCTGGCTTTGGATCGGTGTAGCTCTGGCCATTGCAGCCATTTGGGAAATAAATCAGGGGATGGAAGACCTCTCTCTCTACCTCTCTCCTCTGTGTAACTCTGCCTTTCAAGTAAATAAAATTTTTTTTTTTTAAAAAGGGGGAGCTTCCGTCCACAGAGTGCTGTGCAGTTAAACCTCTGGGGGTGGGCCAGGGGACAGGGCATGGCATGGTCATCCAGGGCAAACAGATGGGCCACCTGGCAATCTGAGCTGAGGCCTTGTCACCTCCCTCTCCTTGGGGCCTGACTTGTCCACCTGGAGAACAAAGTGACTTGTCTAGAGTGGGGTTCTCCAGTGGTTTCTCGTCGCCCCATGGGCACGGGCAAATGTGAACAGGATCATTCGCTGGGCACCTCTTGGAGGCTACACTAGTTTCCCATGTACAGCAGCGGTCTGACATGTCCTTTCAATCTAAGTAAGTTTCAAAACATAAGCTGGGGCCAGCGCTGTGGCGTAGTGGGTTAAGCCTCTCTCTGTGTCTCTCCCTCTCTCTCTCTGTAACTCTGCCTCTCAAATAAATAAATCATTACGAAAAAAAAAATCTTAAGCCGATATCAAGAAGGCATTAGCCACACGATCATAAAGGCTCCTGCTGAATATGCCAAGAGTGCTGAAAGTGGTCTGCAAAGGAGCAGAGCACGGGAAGCCATCAACGGCACTGGCAGTGTGGACCCCTGCCATGTGTGAGACCCCTCGGAGGATCTGCAAGGTGAAACTGCTCTCCAATACCCAGGCGCCATCTGCTTTCAGGCCGTGCTGACACTGGCACTGACGGCGCAAAAACACGGAGGATACAACTGCTGGTGCCTTCGCACCAATTATGGCGGCGGCACTGAGAGCCGTCACTCTGCACTGCTGGACAGTCGAGGGAGCCCGGATGAGACAATGAGCATTGCTCGTCTCATTCGTGTTTGCTATGTCATAAATGGAAAGCAGACACGAGGCGTATCTGCAGCACAGTGGAAGCATGGCATGGCGTTCACTCGGGGAAACGCAGTTACAGCTGCGTGGAAGTTGCCAGCCCAGCTGGCTGCTCTGCTTCCTGGATGCCATTTTTACTTGAAAGAATGACTGCTGGACAAACTGTGACGGATCAGCCCAGGGTATTTAGCAGCTGTTTTCTCAAAAATGAATGCAGTGAACTTGCTACTTCAAGACAAACAACGGAGGGCTGGCTCTCTGGTCAGCAGGTTACGTCACTGCTCACGATGCCAGCGCCACAAGCTGGTGTCGGTTCAAGTCCTGGTGCTCTCCCTTTCCTTTCCCTTTTTTTTTTTTTTTTAAGATTTCTTTATTTTATTTGAAAGCAGGAGTCACAGAGGATGGGGCAGGGGGAGAATATTTTCCATCCACTGGTTCACTCCCATGCGGCCACAGCAGCCAGAGTTGAACCAGGCTGAAGCCAGGAGCCTAGAATTCCATCCATGTCTCCTACATGGTGGCAGGGGCCCAAGAATTGGGTCACCTTAAGCTGATTTTCTCAGGCCATTAGCAGGGAGCTGGATCAAAAGTGGAGCAGCCAGGACACAAACCAACACCCTTACAGGATGCCAGCATCGCAGGGATCCTCAGTCAATGCTGATAATAACTGTACACAGGGACCAGAGAGAAGGGAAGGTTGGAGGGCTGATAGAACAGTCATTCTAAGGGCCCCATTCAAGGCTAAAAATGTCTCGGGGCTTATTGATCGGTTTAGCCTCTCGGGCAAATCTCCTCTGTAGTCATGACTTTTGGTACAAAACAGGATGTCCTGAGTCTGTCTTGGGTCAGGTATTTGGCCTGGTAGTTAGACGCTTGATCCCACTAACAGAGTACCTGGGTTCAGCGTTGGTTCTGTCTCTGGTTCCTGACTCCAGCTTCCTGCCAGTGCAGAAGGGGATGGCTCAAGTACATCGGTGCCTGCCGCCCACATGGGAGGCCCTGATGGAGTCTGGAGCACGTGGCCTCAGCCTGGCCCAGTCCAGGCCACTGCAGGCATTTGGGAGTAACCCAGCGAATGGGAGCTCTGTGTGGCTGACTCCGTGTGTGTCTGTGTCTGCCTCACAAATAAATACATTTTTGAAAACGTAACGAATCTGTCCTGACTACTTCCTTTAGGGTCACAGCGTGGTCTCCTGTCCTCTCACTCTGATACTTGCCAACAGATGTGTGTCCGCGTGGTACTGATACAGAGTACGTGCATCCCCCGTGTGTCTACATCACAGCAACACCCTTCCCTGGGTTTAATGCGTCCACACCACAGCTGCCTAAGCAGCCTGCAGGGCCTTCCAGGGCAGGAATCGCGTTCCAGAATAAACCAACACAGTGACCAACACCTGCCCTGGCTCCTCAGCCATGTCAGCAAACTCTGCCTCCTGGGTGCGCCCTGTCCGCCTGGGCGTGTGAGAGCGACAGGTGGCTGACCGCCTTCCCCAGTCACTGGTATCTGCTGGAGGTCCTCTCCAGGCTGGGCACCGCATACATGGTGTAGACGCCGTGTGGTACCAAGTGTCCACTGCTGATCCCACAGCACCACTCCCAGTGAGTGCACACTGCCGTTTTCCAATGAGAACATCAAGGCAGACGGAGGATGCGACTTGTCCCAGGCCACAGCTGGCAGCCACAGCTGTCCCTCTCCCCTTTTACACCACACAAGTGTCAAAAGTAGGGCACAGGCTGTCACTGTGGCACAGTGGGTTAATGCCCTGGCCTGAAGCGTCAGCATCCCATACGGGAGCCAGTTCAAGTCCTGGCTGCTCCACTTCTGATCCAGCTCTCTGCTGTGGCCTGGGAAAGCAGTAGAAAATGGCCCAAGTCCTTGGGCCCCTGTACCCATGTGGGAGACCTGGAAGAAGCTCCTAGCTCCTGGCTTCTGATCGGTGCAGCTCCAGCCATTGTGGCCAGTTGGGGAGTGAACCAGTGGATGGAAGACCTCTCTCTCTCACTCTCTCTGTCTCTCTCTCTCTGTCTCTCCTCTCTCTGTAACTCTTTCAAATAAATAAATAAATCTTTTAAAAAAAAAGTAGGGCGGCCAGCGCCGTGGCTCACTAGGCTAATCCTCCGCCTTGCAGCACTGGCACACCGGGTTCTAGTCCCGGTCGGGGCGCCGGATTCTGTCCCGGTTGCCCCTCTTCCAGTCCAGCTCTCTGCTGTGGCCCGGGAGTGCAGTGGAGGATGGCCCAAGTGCTTGGGCCCTGCACCCACATGGGAGACCAGGAGAAGCACCTGGCTCCTGCCTTTGGATCAGTGTGGTACGCCGGCCGCAGCGGCCATTGGAGGGTGCACCAACGGAAAAGGAAGACCTTTCTCTCTGTCTCTCTCTCTCTCACTGTCCACTCTGCCTGTCAAAAAAAAAAAAAAAAAAAGTAGGGCCCAGGAGGAAACAGTACTGGAACACAGAGGGAGAAGACATCTTTACACTGAGGGGGCACACGGAAGGCTTCCCGAGGGAGGAGGCAGGGTCTGAACCGAGCCTTGGAAGGCAGGACTGTCGGTGGTGGAGGAGAGGAGGGGAGCCACAGGGAGGTGAGCGCCGGCCCCTGATCCCTGTCGCCTGGGCAGCCAGCATGGGCCCGGCACGGAGGACGCGCGGACCGCAGACTCACCGACACGGCCAGGTGCAGCGGGGTGTTGCCGTGCTCGCCGCGGGCATCGGCGTTGGCGCCGTAGGTGAGCAGCACCATGACGCACTCGAATCGGTTGCGCATCACGGCCACGTGCAAGGCTGTGTACCCCGAGGAGCTGGTGCTGTTCACGTCGCAGCCTCGCTTCAGCAGCAAGCGAGCCATCTGTGGGGACAGCTTGGGCCTGAGTCAGCACCAGGGCGCTGCCCTGCCTGCGGTACCAGGGCCGCCTCTTCCCCTAACACGCTTCCGATACTGGGCCCTGGGAGCAGGCTCCTGCTCCAGGTGGAGTGGCCCTAGACCCTGCTCCCATACCTTCTGCACCCTAGGGGCCAGGGTCAAAAGCCAAACATGCACCAACCAACAGGACCCCAGTCCCCCTGATGGGCACTGTCCACACACATCCTGCCCCCTGCAGCTGTCCTGGGCCTGGAAGCCTGGGAGAGCCTGGGATCACGGGGTAGCCTCTGGGCTTTGGAGCCAGAGAGACCTGGGCCATCTGAGCTTGGAGGGGCAACCCTGGCCCTCCGCACCTCAGCGTCCTCTTCTGAGGAAACAGGAACCAAGTCCCTGCCTCGCCCAGCGCAGCACCTCCGAGTGACAGAACACACAGGGTGCTGGACCTGGGGTCCAGCTCTGGACGCACAGAGATGCCTCCCTCCCCCGGCTCATCACACTGATGGACAGCCAGCATCTCTGGGGCACCTTCGGAGCCAAGTCAGGCTTCCTGGCGATGAGACCAGTGGCCTCCTTCCTCCCAGAGGACACAGCCTGGTATAGGGAAAGACCTCAGAGTGGACGTCCAGCTGACCTCATCCTCATGGTCGTCAGCCCCGCAGCTTCACCCCTCACCCCCTCACTGTCATCCTCATCCCTGCCACCCCTCCCCTCCCCCACCTCTGTGAGCACTTTCAGTGTGTGAGCTTGCCTCGGGCACCGTCTCACTGATTCCTCGGCACTGCCAAAGGCTGGCCCTAAGCCCCCGGATTCAGGCAGAGGGGCCAGCACCACCCGGCCAGGGAGCAGCGGAGCAATGCCAGGACCTCAGCTCTCCGTGGGCTTATGTGCCTGTGGGCCACCATGAGCCCAGCCCCTTACGTGGCGTCGTCAGAGTCCCCACAGGAGCCTCCCCCCGCAGGCACAGCCCCCTGTCCCACCCCCGAGCCTGCCCACCTCCGCATTCTTGGCCCAGTGCAGGGGGCTGGCTCCATAGCGAGGGTCTTTGCTGTGGATCTGGTTGCTGTCCATGCTGATGATCATCTCAGCACACCTGGGGACAGAGGAGGCAGGGCGGAGAGGAGAGGCTGGGATGGACCTGGAACTGGATCAACTTCCCTATGGATTGAGCAGGGAGGGTCTGACCTGCAAGCAAAGTTGCAACAATGCCAACCAGCCTGGGCAACGATTTCTTAGACGTTACACCAGAAGCTCAGGCTGCAAAAGTGAAATAAAGAAACAGGGCTACACCAAACCAAGAGGCACCTGCACAGCAAAGGGAATAGCAAAACGCACAGGCAGCTGTGGGGAGCAACTCGGACTAGACTAAGTTACTGGAATTAAGACTTATTCTATGCATCTGCTCTCCCACAATATGGCGCTGGGAGAGGAGACAACAGCTTCTACGCAGCTGCCTCCAGTTCAACCAATAAACAGCAGGACCTGCTCCTGATTGGAGGAGAGCAGCGTACTCGGCGTGTGGGTAGCAGAGTTGGGATTGGTGGAAAAGGACTATAAAGGAGGAGAGAGACAACATGCACCAGGAACATCTAAAGGGAACATCCGGATGACACCTGAGCAGCCCCCGAGAGAGCCGGCCGGCGGTGTGCCGCTCCCCCTTGGAAGTGGGGAAAGTGGCAGGGGGAGCCGCCCCTCCACGGAGGTGGAAGGGACGGTAGCCAACCCGGGAAGAACCAGCAGCAAACCTGGGGAGGGCCGAGCAGATGAAAGAACAGCGCAGGGTCTAGTGTCGCTCCTCCACGAAGAGGGGGAGCGACATAATGGTGCCGTGACTCGGATAGGGAAACCTAGGCAGGGTTTAGTGTCGTTCCTCCACGAAGACGGGGAGCGACAGGCAGCCTCATGGGCTGGACATCGGATAGGGCTGACATTCAAGAGCACACACTCACACGTGCGGGACTCCATTATAACGGGCAAGAGGACCTGAGCAGACATCCAGAGAAGACACGGAAACAGCCCGCAGGGGCACAGGAAGGTGCTCGCCCACTGAGCAGGAGACGCGCACCCCAGCCACAGTGAGCTCAGAGCTCACTCCCCTAGGGCGGCTGTTCTCAACAGTACACACCACATCAGAAAAGGGAACCACGTACGCTGTCTACGGGAACGTGGGCTCGTGCAGCTCCTACGGAAATCACTATGGTGGCTCCTACAGAAATTACAAACGGAACTACCATCCCACCCTGTCTCCCCTCTCAGGGCACGCAGCCAAGCTGATGAAACCCCCACCCCGGAAAGCCGCCTGCACTCTCAGGGTCGCCGCAGCACCCGTCGCAGTAGCCGGCCTGCAGGAACGACCCGGGTGCCCACCCACGGACAGTGGAAAGAGAACCTGAGGCACACACAAGCCACGCACATGCAGACATGCCTACATGCATGCGCACACGCACACACACCCGTGCGTGCACGATGCGTACTACATGCACGTACACAGAGATGCACGCGCGTGCGCACACACACACACACACAGAGGGAGCGTCATAAAGTTCAGGAGAAAACTGGATGCAAAGATGGCGAGACTCCAGTGGCCTGTCTGAAGCCCATCCAGGCAGCCGCGCACACGGTGGAGTACAGCTGACTGCTAGGAGAGGAGACGCCGCGCTTGCCACGACGTGGACGGCAAAGTGGGGCAAGTCAGGCGCAGAAAGAAGAGTCAGGTCCAACATACAGAGACAGGGAATGAGAAGTGGTTACAATGATCTGAGGAGGGGGGCAGAGGAGCCGGAAATGGTCTGAAGACGCAAGGTAGCGGATACGGCCCATGAAGAAGACGAACCCACAACACGCCCTACGCCTCAGACCCTGTGTGTGCTGAGGAGTCTCCTTCCAAGAGGAGGTGACAGCAAAAGTAACCACATGAGGTGCTACCTTGTTTCACCACAGTAATGAGTTATCATAACCAGTATCGCAGCATCAACATCACCTCCTAGCCCTTAGACACAATAGGGCACAATTCATCAATAAAAAAGAAAAACTTTAAAAAAATAAATTAAGCCAAACAGCCTGTGCATGAAGAAGGTACATCAGGGGCATCCTGAGCCCCAAGACACATCTTCCTCCTCCTCCAGGAAGCCGCCCTGATGACTGCAGTCAGCCGTGATGGATGTCCCTGACACTGGCATCAGAGCTGACAAGCCAGAGGTCGAGCCAGTTTCCTCGCTGGCGACCTGCAGAAGCTGAGCCTGTCTGCAGGCTGGGGACCGTCCCAACGGGAGTGGGCATTCCGGAATCCATCCTAGGCCCTCCAGTTCCCTGCACTCTCTGGTGACTACACTGTGGGAGCACAGTGACTGCACCCACAGGAAGCCGTGTGGCAGAATGGTCAGGAGCACCCTGGCTTTTCACCCTTAGGTATTTAACCTGAAAAAGGACCAGAACAGGTGCTGCAGGATTCACACAGGCAAAAGGCAAAACAGCCAACGTGTTTATCAAAGAATGACCGCATAAGCACAATGTGGGATATGAGTGTGCGCACAACCGACTACAATTCAGCCTTGAAGAGGAAGGCGATTCTGACGCGTGCCGCGGCACGGAGGAAGCCTGAGCACACCGTGCTCAGTGAAATAAATCAAGCACAAAAGGCCAGTGGCTGTGTGACCCCTCTTCTGTGAGGTACCCACGCCAGGTGAGTTCATAGAAACAGACAGCAGACTAGAGGTGACCGGGCGGGGGACGGAGAGCTGGGAAATTACCCGTGGTCACAGAGATTCTGCTTGGGTTGATAAAAAAAAAAAAAAAAAAAGGTTTTAGAAATAGATGCTGATGACTGCACAACATTGTGAATGGAATTAATGTCACTGATTTGTACACTTAAAATGGTGAAAATATAAAATTTTATGTTACAATAGATATTTCACCATAATTTAAAAAGCTAACAGACAAAAGGCCATTGGTTTCTATACTTTAAATAGGTGAATTGTATGTGAGTTACTCTGCCATAATGCCATTTAAATAGATAAAAGTGAGGGGCCAGTGCTGTGGCATAGTGGGTTAAAGCCACTGCCTGCAGCCCCGGCACCACATGGGCACTGGTTCGAGTTGTGGTTGTTCCATTTCCAATCCAGCTCCCTACCAGTGCATCTGGGAAAGCAGCTGAAGAAGGCCCAAGTCCTTGGGCTCCTGTATCCGTGCAGGAGACCCGGAAGAAGCTCCTGGCTCCTGGCTTCGGACCTGTCCAGCTCTAGCCATTTGAGCCATTTGGGGAGTAAATCAGCAGATGGAAGATCTCTCTCTCTCTCTCTCTAACTCTTTCTTTCTTTTTTAAAGATTGATTTATTTGGAAGAGTTACACACAGAGAGAAGGAAAGGCAGAGAGAGAGAGAGAGAGAGAGAGAGAGAGAGAGAGAGAGAGAGAGAGAGAGAGGTCTTCCATCCACTGGTTCACTCCCCAGTTGGCTGCAATGGCCAGAGCTGCGCCAATCAGAAGCCAGGAGCCAGGAGCTTCTTCCAGGTCTCCTGCATGGGTGCAGGGGCCTAAGAACTTGGGCCATATTCTACTGCTTTTCCAGGCCATAGCAGAGAGCTGGATTGGAAGTGGAGCAGCCGGGACTCAAACCAGCACCTATGTGTGATGCCAGCACTGAAGGCAGCAGCTTTACCCGCTACGCCACAGCAATGGCCCCAAATTCTGCCTTTCAAAGAAATAAATAACTCTAAAAAATACAAGATGAAAGTGAGCAGTCAGTAGGGACCTTCTTCCTGGGTTTAACTCCTAGCTCTGACACTTGCTGCCGGCCTGACCCTGAGCAAGCCACTTATTCTTGCTAAGCCTGGTTTTCTTACCTTTACAACGAGGGTAACACACAACTGCTCGCTGAGTTGCTGAGAAATAACCAAGCAAAGGCTGAGCCCAGCGACTGGAGCAGCACCGGCTTTCAACAGGTGTGGCTTACCTGCCACTGCCATGAGGGAGGGCGTGGGCCCAAACCCAGAGAGGTGCGGGACCTGAAGTCTCATCTCCCTGCAGCCCAACCCCAAGGCCAGCCTCAGCACCAGGCACGCGGAGCTGAGCCCTCCCTTACAAAGCAGCGAAGGGGCTGCTGGTCTGAGCTGTGCTGGTACCACGTGCTCATAACACTGAACCACGGGACCCCACAGTGGTGCTGCAGCTTCCACCAGGCAAAGGGAGCCCCCTGCAGGGCCCACCCCGGAGGAGGTGCTCCCTGTCCTCTAGGCCCTCTCGGGTGGTCTGATGCCAGACCACACAGGACAGGAAGGCCTGGGCGGGCAGAGGGTTCGTGGCTGAGAGGCTGGAGGGAGAGCTCAGTGGGCAGGGGTCAGGCCACTGCACAGAGAAGCCTTGGGTGGCTGGAACCCAGCGAGAGCAGTGCCGTGTCCTCCGTACAGAGACGAATGGACACTCAGTGTCCGTTCAGATCACGACCTGCAACTACTGCTTGGGTCTACTGGGGTGCCAGCGCTCACACTCCGCCTGTCTGGTCAAGTGTTTCTAAACGTTTTGGTTCATCGGGCTGTGCAAGGGAGAATGGAGGAAAGGAGGGTTTGTCCAAACTGGGACCACACCTCAGAGGGGGACAGTGACGATGGGGGCCAGCAGGCTGGGTGTGGACCCCAGGGGATGGAAAGCCTGGCAGAGGGCCAGCGGGCCCGCCTCCCCTGCCATGCGCCAGCCCCTCGTACGCTGTGCTCGCTGCTCATCCTGCATGCTGCCCTGGAGCCACGGGGTGACCTGTGTCCCCTGTCCTGGAGCTGCCTGGCTCGGGCTCATCCCGTATCACTCATGTGGCTGGCGCACAGCAGTGCCCAGTGTGGAGGGACCAATGGGCCCGGCCGTGCGGTCCTTCAGTCAGCCCATCTAGATTCTGGTCCAGCTGGAGAGCACTTGGAGACTTTTCACCTTTCACCCCACTTCCCTCCCTCCTACACTCAGCCCATACGGAGGAGAACGTTCCCGAGACAGGCTTTCCTCGGTGTCGGGAGAGGGGAAGAAATGAGGGTGCAGAGCCCTCGGAGGCAGTGCACCTGCCAGGAAGGAAGGGCCCACGGCGGTTCCCAGGCCCTGGGCCACCTGGGGAAGCATTCCCGGCTTCAGGCCGGACACCAGAGCCGCTGGGTACCGCAGCTGTGAAGGGGCTGCTCAGCCCAGGCTGCGGGGACCCAGCGGGGAAGCCAGGCCAGGGCCCTTCCCAGGCCTGGGCTCACATCAGCCTCTCAAGCTGGAGCACTGCTGGGAGCGTGGGAAAGGGGACTCACGGAGGACAGAGCCTGGAGGGCTTCCTCCGTGTGGTGGCGGGGGCGCCTGGTCAGAAATCACGGTGCGCCACAGAGAAGGTGGAGACGTTCTGCTGCTCGCGCGGCACGCTGTGGGCGGGCGCTCGCGCTCAGGACGTGATCATCAAACGTGTCCTCACACCAGGCCAGCCCCTGGGCCAGCATCTGACGTGCAGCCAGCGAGGCTGCGGACCCGGGCCGCCCCTCGGAGGCTGGGCGCTGCTCCCCGGGGGCCGAGCCGGGCCTGCGGGAGGTGGCGCTTACCCCCTCTGGGAGAACTTCATGGCCGTGTGGATGGGGTAGCCTTCGGGCCCCAGGATGTTGCAGCGGGCGTTGCACAGCAGCAGCACGCGGACCATCTCCTGCTTGCCCATCTGGCAGGCCAGGTGCAGCGGGGTCAGCCCTTGGCTGTTCACCTGGTTCACACCCGTCGACGCGTTCTTTCCTAGGAGCTGACAGCAGGACACCAGGGGTGGGCAGAGCCCAGCACAGAGAAGCCCCCGTGTGTCCTCCTTCCTGACACCCGGGGGTGGGGAGGCCACCTCTCTCGGGACCAAAAGGAAGGAGGTTTGATACCATGAGGAGCTGACGAAACTTTTAAAGAGGAGCAAGAGGGTAACAAGTCGGTGTGGACTGGCTGGTGGGGCGTGTTGCTCAGCATGGCCACGGCTCATGGGAAAAACTTCTGAATCAAGAAACTTAGGGGCCGGCGCCGCGGCTCACTAGGCTAATCCTCCACCTAGCGGCGCCGGCACACCGGGTTCTAGTCCCGGTCGGGGCGCCGGATTCTGTCCCGGTTGCCCCTCTTCCAGGCCAGCCCTCTGCTGTGGCCCGGGAGTGCAGTGGAGGATGGTCCAAGTGCTTGGGCCCTGCACCCCATGGGAGACCAGGAAAAGCACCTGGCTCCTGGCTCCTGCCATCGGATCAGCGCGGTGTGCCGGCCGCAGCGCGCCGGCCGCGGCGGCCATTGGAGGGTGACCTTTCTCTCTGTCTCTCTCTCTCTCACTGTCCACTCTGCCTGTCAAAAAAAATTAAAAAAAAAAAAAAAAGAAAGAAACTTAGGGGGCCGGTGCTGTGGCGTAACAGGTAAAGCCGCTGCCTGCAGTGCTGGCATCCCATATGGGAGACCCAGAAGAAGCTCCTGGCTCCTGGCTTTGGGTCAGCACAGCTCTGGCCATTGTGGCCAACTGGGGAGTGAATGAACCAATGGATGGAAGACCTCTCCCTCTCTCTGCTTCTCCTTCTCTCTGTGTGTAACTCTGACTTGCAAATAAATAAATAAATTCAGAAAAAAAGAAAGAAACTTAGAAGGTGGGTGGGGGTAACCAGGGACGGGCACTGGGGGTCTAGGTGGGAATGATCCCTGTCCTGCTTGATTCTGGTTTTCCATGCAGGTATCATGTTCTCAATGAAGCACTCCAAAGAGAGCTGGAGGGGTCTACCTTCTCTCTCTGAGGTTAATCACAATGGCTGTGCATCCGTGTGACACCAAGGTCACCTCATGGCAATCCCACCTGGTGTGTGGGCAGGCAGGGGACACAGCAGTGAGGTCTAGGGGCTGGAGGCCAGGGCCAACCCCATCCTCACAGCGTGTGGCCCTTTATTTATTTAACTGAGAGGCAGAGAGAGAAAGTTTCCGTCTGCTGGTTCACTTCCTAAATGCCTGCAACGACCAGGAATGGACCAGGCTGAAGCTGAGAACTCACCCACATGGTCACTTAAGCCTGCTACAGTTTGCATTAGCAGGAAGCTGGAGTCGGGAGCCAGAGCTGGACTCTAACCCAGGCACTCGATACGGGATGTGGGTATTTTAAGCAACAGCTTAACTGTAGGCCAAAAGCCCACCCCAGCATGGACATATTTCTTTTCTTTTTTTTTTTAAGATTTATTTATTTTTTTGAAAGAGTTACACACAGAGAGAGAGAGGAGAGGTCTTCCATCCGATGGTTCACACCCCAATTGGCCGCAATGAGCAGAGCTGTGCTGATCCAAAGCCAGAAGCCAGGAGCTTCCTCCGGGTCTCCCATGTGGGTGCAGGGGCCCAAGGACTTGGGCCATCTTCTACTGCTTTCCCAGGCCATAGCAGAGAGCTGGATCAGAAGTGGAGCATCGGGTCTCAAACTGGTGCCCATATGGGATGCTGGCACTGTAGGCGGTGGCTTTACCCATTACGCCAAAGCACCGGTCCCCAGCTGCTCTACTTCTAATCTTGCTCCCTACTAATGTGCCTGGGAAAGCAGTGGAAGATGGCCTGAGAGCTTAGGCCCCTGGAACCCATGTGGGAGACCTGGAAGAATTGCCGGGCTCCTGGCTTCTGCCTGGCACATCCCTGGTCCTTGTTGCTATTTGGGGAGTGAACCAGCAGACAGAAGACCTGTTTCTTTCTCTCTCTCTCTCTGAACTTTGACCTTCAAATAAATAAAAACAAATATTTTTTTAAAAAACCTGCTCAATCTAGACAATAAAATACAATCCAGGGGCTGGCGCTGTGGCTCAGTGGGTTAACTCCTTAGCCTGAAGTGCCAGCATCCCATATGGGTTCCGGTTCTAGTCCCAGCTGCTCCTCTTCCATCCAGCTCTTTGCTATGGCCCTGGAAAGCAGTGGAAGATGGCCCAAGTCCTTGGGCCCCTGCACCCACGTGGGAGACCTGGAAGAAACTCCTGGCTCCTGGCTTCAGATCAGCGCAATTTCGGCCGTTGTGGCCAATTGGGAAGTGAACCATCGGACGGAAGACCTCTCTCTCTCTCTCTGCCTCCCTCTCTGTAACTCTGACTTCCAAATTTAAAACAAAAACAAAAACAAAAACAAAAAACAAACTTAAAAAAATACAATCCAGTGGTCTGCCTTTCCCTTCTGAGCAAATATATAAAGCAGCATTTTCATGTCATCATTCCATCTACTGCCCACAATTTATTTCTAAATCTTCTCCCCAGGTAATCAGAAAAGTGACTAGAAGGGCTGGCGCTGTGGTGTAACATGTAAAGCCACCCCCTGCAGCGATGGCATCCCACATGGGCGCCAGTTCAAGTCCCAGCTGCGCCACTTCCTATCCAGCTCTCTGCTATGGTCTGGGAAAGCAGTAGAAGATAGCCCAAGTCCTTGGGCCCCTGCACCTGCGTGGGAGACCTGGAAGAAGCTCCTGGCTCCAGATCGGCCCAGCCCTAGCTGTTTCGGTCATTTGGGGAGTGAAGCAGCAGATGGAAGACCTCTCTCTTTTTCTCTCTCTGCCTCTGCCTCTCTGTAACTCTGCCTTTCAAATAAATAAATAAATATTAAAAAAAAAAATAACACTATGATCACTTAAAGAAAACGTGAATAGAAGTGCCTTGGAACCAGAGGGAGCTGCTGTTTTGGTTTGAGTTCCTGTAAAGGAGACGGCGTCCACCACGAGATCCTCCAGGAAGGGGGTGAACCCCTCTCCCCCAGCACAGGGGTCTGGCTGCTCAGGAAAAGCTGAACTAAACTGACTGCAGCTGGGCCTAGATTTAGCTCGCTGGAGGGATGCGCAGCCTCCACAGAGCTCAGGCCCCAAGGACCAGGAGAGCGTGGTGAGGCCTGGAGTGACCCGAGCTCAGGCCCCAGAGAGAACGAGGGGCGCGCGGGGGGGAGGGTGCCAGCCGCCTGCTCCTCCTGCCGCTCACCTGCAGCACCTGCGAGTTGTCACCCTGCACAGCGTAGTGGAAGGCGGTTTCCCCCTTGTTGTCGGTGACGTCCATCTGGGCGTGGCAGTACTGCACCAGCTCCAGAAGAATCTCCCCGTCTCCCTTGCGGCAGGCCAGGTGCAGGGGAGTGCAGCCCTCCTCATTCTCCGTGCTGTTGGCACAGCTGCAGGAGGGGACCGGGGAGGAGAGAGGGCACAGAGGGCTGGGGTGCTGGGGACCCCGAGTAAGGAAGCAGGGAGCGGGCTCGGGAATGTGGGCGTTTCCGCTTGTGTGAGTACACTGCTCCAGCCAGCGGTGCACAGGCAGGGCTGTCACGGCCTATCTTCCTCTGATAGGATCTGCTTTGGTTTACCTGGCCCATCTGCAGAAGGTGCCTGGGGCCACACCAGCACAAGGCGGGTGGCGGGTGGCATGGAAAAGGATTCCACGCGGCAGGGGTCTCCCTGAGCTCGGGCAGTTCCCTCGGCCTCCTGGGCCTCAGGTTCCTCATCTACTGCACCTGCTGTGCCTGCCCTAGGAGAGGGACACAGCTCTTGTGGGATGGGACACCTCGTCTTCCAGGAGCGTGCCTGTGGACCGTGAGAACACAGAGCGCCTGGGAGCAGGCCTGAGCCTTCCGCAGTGGGAAACCAGAGGGGCAATGGCTGCTCCCAGGCAAGGGGGCTGCTGGCATCCTGAGCAGGGATGGCATCGTGTCCTCGGCAGGGGCGTCTGCTGACGCATCTGTTGGCTGAACGGACGGACACGAGTGGGCATTCCAGCTTCCAGGAGGGCAGCCAGGCGTTTGGAGGGAGACACACAGCCTCTGAGCCCCTCTCCAGCCCTCTGCAGCTGAGAGACCCCCGCATGGGGCCCACGACCTCTCTTTGGGATAAGCACACGTCAGCTCCCCAGAGTCTGGCACCTGGTGAACACTCCGGAATGTGCCATTTCTCCTTCTGTCTTTCATCAAGTTCCTCTGCCCTAATGCAGGAGCAACGCTGCTCCTTTTTCTGTCAAAACTACAGAAGGGTGCTCAGGCAGAACCCGGAGATTTCCCAAGGGCCCCCACCCCCAGTCCACACGGCCCTGCCCACTCACCTGATGATGCGGCTGTGGTGGAAGCACTCACGGATCCCCAGCTCCACGGCCAGGTGCGCCACCGACCAGCTGGGGTGGTTGCGGATGAGGTCGGACAGGTGCTGCAGGACCTCAACGTGCAGGACCTGGACGGAGCTCTCGTAGAAGGGCGGCAGCTGGGAGGCATACTGCTGGAAGTTCACCAGGGCGTCGGCCTCCAGCTCCAGCTGGAAGAGCCTGCGCAGCCAGGATGGGGAAGAGAACACAGAGGGGAGTGGGGCGGGGCCCTCAGCCCACATCTCTGCTGGGCGCCCCAAACCGCCTGTCCCGGCTGCAACCTGACCTGTGCCAGCCAGACTCCCCTCCCCTAGCAACACACACACACACACACATACACACACACCTAAAGGGAGTGCAGTTTGGGCTTCTTTATTTAAAATAAATAAATATATATATATATTTAATGGCAGAGGGACAGAGAGAGAGGGAGAGACAGAGTTAGAGAGAGAGGTCTTCCATTTATTGGTTCACTCCCCAAATGGCCACAATAGCCAGGGCTGGGTCAGGCTGAAGCCAGGGGCCTGGAGCTCCATCTGGGTCTCCTACATGGGTGGCAGGGCCCCAGGTTCTTGGGTCACCTTCTGTGGTCTTCCAAGCTATGTTAGCAGGAGCTGGATCTGAAGCAGAGTGGCTGGGACTTAAACCAGGCTCCAATAGGGGATGCTGTTGTCACAAGTGGCAGTTTAACCCACTGCGCCACAGCAAAGCCCCTGGACTTTTTTTTTTCTTTTAAAGATTTATTTTATTTATTTGAAAGGCAGAGCTACGGAGAAGCAGAGGCAGAGAGAGAGAAGTCTTCCATCTGTTGGTTCACTCTGCAGATGGCCACAACGGCTGGAGCTGGCCTGATCCAGAGCCAGGAGCCCCCTCCGGGTCTCCCACGCAGGTGCAAGGGCCCAAGGACCCAGGTCATCCTTCACTGCCCTACCAAGCCATAGCAGAGAGCTGGATCAGAAGTGAAGAAGCTGGGACCCGAACTGGCATGCACATGGGATTTCGGCATTGCAGGTGGCCCCACCCGCCACACCACAGCACCAGCCCCTGGACTTCTTTTTATTTGAAAAGACTTCCCTCCCTTCCCTCCTTGCTTTCAGTACATCATATAATACTTTTAAATTTTATTTGACCAAAGGCTTGTCATGTCCACTTTCTAACTTGATTTTCACACCCGAGGGCCCTCCTTGCACCCAGGAGAAACTAAGTAAGAGGGGGCCAGAGCTGTGGTGCAGCAGCAGGTTAAGCCGACATCTGCGACGTCCATATCCTATACTAGCCATATGGGAGACCTGAATCAGAGCCCCTGGCTCCTGGCATCAGCCTGGCCCAGCCCCAGCTGTTGCGGCTATTAGGGGAGTGAACCAGCAGATATAAGATCTCGCTATATCTCCTTTGCACTATGTCAGTCTACCTTTCAAATAAATAAAATAAATCTTAAAAAGGAAAAAGAAACTCAGTTTTGTTTAGCATAAATGCCCAGCAAGAGGATACAGATAAACTGTGGCACGCCTATGTGATGGGACACTTTGCAGCCACTGAAATGAAATATTAAAAGAACAGGGAAATGTTTGTTTTGTAATGTTAAATTTAGGGGTAGGCATTTGGCTCAGCAGTTAAGTCGCCACTCGGGACACCCACATCCTATATCAGAGTGCTTCCGATCCACTTCCTGCTAATGCACACCCTGGGAGGTCCAGCTGATGGCTCAAGCGCTTGGTCCCTGTCCCTCACACAGAACTCCAGACTGAATTCCTCTGCCTTGCAGATAAGATCAAAGTGAAAGTATAAAAATAAATAAAGCAAGTGCCTTTCTAATTACAAGAAGCAGGATACAAATTACATAAAATGTGATCTCAATTGTAAAAGAAAAAGACTAGAAGGAATGCGTCCAGTTGTGTATGGTAGCGTAATAAATAAAGTTCTTTTTTATCCATTTCTATAGCTTCTGCATTTTCTATAATGAACAGGAAAAAAAAAGTCTTGTTCATTTTAGAGTTAGATTTGGGTCCGCCCTCTGCTACTGAGTTGCTTTCTGACCTGGGGAAACACAGTCCCTCTCTGAGCCCCACCTGAAACAGGAGAGCAATGGCACCTGTCCCGCCTACCTCAAGGGGTGCTGTGCCGTGGGTGGGGCCGCAACGCAGGGCACTTAAAAACCGTGAAGCTACGCGTCCACGTCCCTGACTGCCAGCAGGGGCCTGGGGGAGTGCACTCACGGGCAGCAAGGCCAGCACGTCTTCCCCGAGGGCCATGGCTTAACAAGCATCTGCGTGGGTGTGAGCTGCGTCCCACATGGCTCTAAAGGGAGGGGGCAATGAGGGAGCACCCTGCAGCAAGTGCCCCGCCCTCCGGAGCCACAAAAGGAACAGGCTGAGAAACAAGTAAAGAGGGTATTACCCAGGCCTCAGGCTCTGTGAGCCTCTTGAAGTTGTGGGTCCGTGTGCGATGTGCGTGTTGGGGAGGAGAGGGACACAGGGGCCCTCCGGGACCCTTCAGATCCGAAGCCCGGCCCACCCTGTCCCTGGCCACAGGCTCTCCAGAGTGCCGCTGCTCTGCTCTGCCCCGCCCTGCCCTTGCCCGCGATGCCCCTCTCTCTGAGGGGCCCTCTCTCTCACGCCTTCCCCTGGCAACGGAATCTGGGCCCTTGAAGGCCCACCTGCACCCCACCACCCCAGTGAGGCCTCCTCCACTCCCTCCTGTCAGACGCACTTGACCTTCAGTGATCACAGAACGCACTCATCCAGTCAACAAATATTTGCCGTGCACCTGTTGTGTGCCTGGCGCCACACCAGGCACCAGGGACACAGAAGGGACTCGGCTGGGCCCTGCCCCTCAACAGGAAAGCAGATGTGTACAGAGACACCTGGTGACGTCAGACACCCGGCCAAACTGAGGGAGCAAGGGGGAGTGAGGACAGGCTCACGGGGCAGGGAGCCACGAGTATGGGAAGGATACTCTTGGTGGAGGGAAAGGCAAAGGCAGAGAAATTCACGTACAGGGGTGAAGTGGTTCAGGGAACTGAGGGTCTCACAGGGTCCCAGTGTAGTATTTCTCACCGGGCGCAGGCAGACAGCCCCTCTGCTGACTGCCGCCTGAGTCCCTTGATGGCAGAGCCAGGCCATCTCAGCTCTGCTCAGTGACCACGGGCTGTGGGCTAATGAAGGGACCGAGCAGTGGACTTGAGGTGCATGGCTAGGATACCACATGCTCGTCTGAGGTCTCCCAACCAGCAGCTCTATGGGACAGGCACCGGCCAGAGGCCCCCAGGTCCGCCCGCCTAGAGGGGCGAAGGTCAGCACTCTGATCACCCTGTGCAGAGCCCCAGGAAGTACAGCCCTGTTTTCTGCTGAGATACCGGCGAGAGGCTGGCCGGGCGCATCGGGGAGCATCTGTCACGGTGAATGCCGGCAGTAAATGATTAATTTGTTCCAGGAACCGAAGTATGGGTGCTATCCTAACAGCAATGTGACGGCCGTCTCCCAGGAGCGCAGAGCACAAGAGCCGGGGGTGGACATACGTCAGGCCGGGGCGCCCGGCTGGCCAACCTGCGAGGCGGCCCTGGGCTGCAATGAGGAAGAGGACAGGCTCTGCAGCCAGCAGTGGGGCTTGAACAGCTCTGCTACTGACCCACTGTGTGGCCTTGGGCAAGGGACTAGACTTCTGCAAGGCTGTGTCAGCCGTCAGAGGGGCCAGCAGGAGCCCTGACCTCCTGGGACTGCCCTGAGGACAGAGCTGCTGCTGAGCTGGTGTGCAGACGACAGGGCGCACTAGGACCGCAGGTTCTGTGGGTGCCGCCCCGTCCCAGCCAGGGTGCCCCATCCACGGCCTAGAGCAGAAAGCCCGAGACTGCAGTAGATCCTGACAACGCGCCTGACGTGGCCAGCACACAAGAACCACGGCAATACCTCCACCAGGCACCACGGCCAACACAGCACCCTGACGTGGACTCAAAATACTCGAGGGACGGCCCTAAGGCTCGCCAGGGAAATGCAGGAGGAGGAGGAAGAGGAGCAGAAGGAGAAGGGGGCATTTCAAAGGGAGCGCCTGGTCCCTGAGGAGGACGTCTGGCAGTCGAAGCCTCCTCCCTGCAAATGGCAAGGGCTGGGGCTGTGCCACACAGCCAGAACAAGCACCTCAGGGCTCTGGCGCAGTGCCCAGCACCTACTTGGCAGCCTTGTCCTTGCCCCGTGGCGGCCCTCACTCCAAATAAAATGAAAATAATTTTAAAAATTCTTTAAGTGAGGCAGGCAACAAAAGGGGACGTTTTCTAGGCCAAGATGAGTGCTCAGGCAAAGCCGGGAGCACGAGGCAGCAAGAGCTGTCACACGGTGCCCTTTCCCGCTAGGTTAAGCACCTGATGTCAAGGAAACAGGAAGCCCTAGAAGCATTAAGCAGGGGAATGACGTCACTCGCCCTCAGGAAAGATCCCTGTGACGGCAGTGTGATGGGGGGAGAGGCAGGCAGGCTGCAAGGCCAGGCGGCAGGAACCCGTGCACACAATGACTGTGGCCTGGGAAGACTGGCGGGGAGATGGGAAGCAACAGAACCTCCGGTGCGGAATGGCATGTGGCTGGCTGGACACAGGCCACCCTTCCCAGCCGCCCTTTCAGTGAGCTGTGACCGGGAGACTAAGTTCTGGCCAGTGAGAGGCACGCGGAAGGCACGTGTACAACTTCTGAGAACTGTCTCTAAAGAGAGAATGTCTTGCCGCCTGCCCGCTGGCTGGAAATGTGGATTACAACGCTGGGTCTGGCACAGCCACCTCGGACCTGCTGGTCTAGGGAATGCAGGCCACGCACAACAAGACAGAAGGAGCTTGGGTCCCTGAGGCCTTTTAGGAGCAGAGCTGCCACCCCAGCCCTCAACTGCCATGGCTGCCGCTAGGGGAAAACGGCACATGTATCCCTGAAGCTGGGTCCCGGTGTCGTCCCTGGAGGAGAGCAGCAAACTCCACAGAGGCCCTGTGGTGCAGTGGGGTGGCGGGAGGGACAGAGGAGCCACCGGACAGATAGGCTGTTTGTGGGGTGGACACGTGAGGGCGGGAGCCGGGTAGAGAGGAGATGAAGAGCTCAAGCCAGCTCAGGGGCACCAGCGATTCCTGAGGGATCCCGAGCTCGGTCTGAGACCCAGTGCTCCGCCTTCCTTCTCGACACACGGAATCCCCCCAGCGGCACAAGGGAGGAATGGACTGGGAACCGGAAGACATAAGCTCCGCTTCTCCGCTGCTTCCTGGGCAACCTACGACCCATCACTTACCATCCCAGGCCTCTGCTTTCCCATTCAGATGGGAGGTGGCACACGTCCATCAGAGGGCCTGTGGACGGGTGCTGACGCAACATCTTGTGAACTAAAAGATACTGCCCAATTCAAAGGGGAACAGTCACGTGTGGCCGACAAACTGCTGGCCCGCAATCTGAGGCCCCGGGACAGAGGTCTGCCCACAGGGGCCCAGGCCTATGGGGACGAGTCTGGAACCCTGGCAAGAAACATTCCAGCTCACAAGACTGGGCGGTTACTTGCACTGGCAGGAGGTGGAATCTGCACAGGGCAGGACATGTCAACAGTATCGCAGAGTGGCCCCCTGGACCCACTGCCCTGGCCACTATGCCTCCCCACTGCCCTCAGCTGCAGGTGCAAGACCACCCTGGCCAGGGCCAGCACAGGCCGAGGCCAGGGGAGGGCAGTGGGCTGAGGCCATCTGCACTCAGGTTTGGTCGGACCCCGCTGTGATGTGACTGGCACCTGGATTGGTCTCTGGTGCCCAAGGTGGGCTCCTCCGTCTCAACTTCCTGGTGGAGCCACGCTCTGAATTCTCACCTGCTGTTCCTCTCCCGTGGCTGGCCTCTGACCTTCAGTTTGCACTTGCTCAGACACCTGCCGCCACACCTCCCCGACCAGAACGACGCCCAGCCGCCGCCCCCTCCCTCTCCTGCAGGCTCACTCGCCACGGCTCTGCGTGTCTGGGCTGATCTCAGCCACTTTGCTCTGCTGGACAGATGCCCCCCACCCCATTCTTTCAGACGCACTTGGCCAATTCCCCCAGGAAGTGTCCCCACTGTTCCCTGGGCTCTGCCTCCTCCCAGGCTTGCATGTGGCCTCCCCGACAAGCTCCTTAAAGACACAGACCACATCTGTCATTTCGGAGAGCCAGCTGGGCCTGGCCGCAGGCCTGCAGAGAGTGGAGGCGCTCAGGCACGACAGGACAGCCGGACGATGAACGGATGGGAAAGTGGACAGGACAGCCAGACGATGAACGAACAGGAAAGCAGAGATGAGCACAAGCCCTGCACGACGTGAAACCCACCAGATCCTGCCTGCAGCCCCTGGGCTACTCCTCTGCCCTCCACCCCGGGAGCTTGTAGCCGGCCCACTTCCCTTGGCTCTGTACTGGCTCCTTGCCTTTCCCTTCTAGCTCACAGGAGCCCCGGCAAACCCCAAGAAGCCACAGCTCGGTCCAGCCCTGAACAAACCCTGGATAGCCGTGCTTTGAAAGCCAGGGCTGAAGGCTACTCCTGTGGGCCTCACCTGATGGAGCCCTTGTCAGCTTCTGCCTCCAGGCAGCAAACAAGCCAGGCTTCCACTCCCACGCCCCTGCTGCTGGCACCCTGATGGGCCAGCGGGTGTGAGGACTAGGAAGCCCCTCCCTCCACCCTGAAGATCAGTCTCCCCTCCCTCCTGGCCCTCCCCAGACCCCTCAGGTGGAGACCTCAAAAGCTGTCTCCTCTTCTCCAAGGCACCTCTGGCCCGAGGCCTAGGGGGAGTGAAGGGAGAGCAGTGCCGGTGGCAGCTGCCGTCACCCACCGGAATGCACTCTGTGAGTTCCTGGGGTTGACCAGGATGCAGTCCCAGGTGCGGTTGGGCGAGTTCCGGAACAGGATCAGCTGCCCTTCTTCCCGGACACGCTCGCTCGCGGCGTAGTCGGCCACAGCCACCTCCTTCACCCGGAACGGGTTAGAGAACAAGTTGGAGACGCTGCTGAGGGTGTTGACCAGACGGCCGAAGAACTGCATCTTCTGTGGGGCGGGAGGGGCGGCCCCACTGCCTTCCCCCTCGGTCTGGAAGAAAACGGGGTCTCTGGTCAGCTGGGCTCTGTCGCCCATGCCCACCTCACTGACCACAGCGGTTTCCTGCACAGGCACCCAAGTCAGTGCCCACCAGTGCCGGCGCCCGACTCTGGGCCTGCAGGGACCTGGGAAGGAGAGAGAGAGAAGCGGTGCTGAGTAGGGGGCATGGCCCTCAGTCAGGTGGGACTGAGGAGGCGGCCACTGTCACAGGTGGCCTGCCCCAGGGTCCCCAGCCCTGTGTCAGGGAGGTGTACTGATGGAAGCAGACAGCAGGGGTGAGGCTCCTTAGGGACAGTAACGTCCTGGGGAAACGGGCGCTCGCACCGCGCAAGTTACAGAGAACTTTGGGGCACTCCGAGAGCCCGTGTGAGTCATTTCAAGTCCACGAGCAAGTCAGTGGCCCCTCTCCAGGTGTGAGACAGCAGAACGAGAACAGGATCATGAGATACTCGGGGTGGGGGGGGGGTCAGTAAGCATTTGTCTAAACCCTATGCTTCCTGCTACTGCTGGTTTCCCAGAGCGCAGGGAGAGAGAGACAGGGAGAGAGACCCCAAGCCTGCTCCCCAGCAAGGGAGGTCAATGGCAGGGCTCTGCAACAGCGAGCAGTAACGCTTCGTTTCAGCACAGAGCTTCCTTCCGTTATGAAAATGGACTCTGGAGGGGCCGGCGCCGCGGCTCACTTGGTTAATCCTCCGCCTGCAGCACCAACATCCCATACGGGCGCCAGATTCTGTCATGGTTGCTCCTCTTCCAGTCCAGCTCTCTGCTGTGGCCCAGGAGGGCAGTGGAGGATGGCCCAAGTGCTTGGGCCCCTGCACCCACATGGGAGACCGGGAGGAGGCACCTGGCTCCTGGCTTCAAATCGGCATAGCTCCAGCTCTAGTGGCCATCTGGGGGGTGAACCAACAGAAGGAAGACCTTTCTCTCTGTCTCTCTCCCTCACTGTCTAACTCTGTCAAATTAAAAAAAAAAAAAAGAAGAAGAAGAAAAGAAAATGGACTCTGGTGTGGATGACAAAATTAGATCTTATTTCCTAGGCTCCCAGGAAACACAATGCCTTCCAAAGGCACAGCCACCAAAGTCGGGTGACAGTCACAGGCCACCCTATGCCGCCACGACAGGAAGTCACCTGCTAAACAGGCACACCAAGGGGGCGGGCACTGTGGCTAAGCCACTGCCTACAGTGCTGGCATCCCATGTAGGCATCAGCTTGAGCCCCAGCTGCTCCACTTCTGACTCAGCTCCCTACTAATGTGACTGGGGAAGCAGCAGAAGATGGCCACGTGGGAGACCTGGAAGAAGCTCCCGGCTCCTGGCTTTGGTCTGGCCCAGCCCTGGCCATTGTGACGGACTAGGGAGTGAACCAGCGGATGGATGATCTCTCTCTAAGTCTGCTTTTCAAATAAATAAATAAATCTTTAAAAATAAATAAAGAAGCAAACCAAACCAGGAGGTTTACAGAGTCCTCTGAAAGGGATAAAGGGGGCCGGCGCTGTGGCGTAGCGGGTAAAGCCAGCACCTGCAGTGCCAGCATGCCATATGGGCACTGGTTCGAGACCTGGCTGCTCCACTTCTGATCCAGCTCTCTGCTCTGGCCTGGGAAAGCAGTGTTGGAGGGCCCAAGACCTTGGGCCCCTGCACCTGTGTGGAAGACCCGGAGAAAGCTCCTGGCTCCTGACTTCGGATCAGCGCAGCTCCAGCCGTTGCGGCCAATTGGGAGATGAACCAGCAGATGGAGGACCTCTCTCTCTCTCTCTCTCTGCCTCTCCTTCTCTAACTCTGACTTTCAAATAAATAAACAAAATCTTCTTAAAAAAAAAAAAAAAAAAAAAGATGGCCAGTGCCGCGGCTCACTTGGCTAATCCTCCACCCGCGGTGCTGGCACCCCGGGGTCCTAGTCCCGGTTGGGGCGCCGGATTCTATCCTGGCTGCTCCTCTTCTAGTCCAGATCTCTGCTGTGGCCTGGGAGGGCAGTGGAGGATGGCCCAAGTGCTTGGGCCCTGCACCCACATGGGAGATCAGGAGGAAGTACCTGGCTCCCGGCTTCAGATCGGCGCAGTGCCAGCCATAGCGGCCATTTCGGGGGTGAACCAACAGAAGGAAGACCTTTCTAATAAAAAAAAAAAAGAAAGAAAGGGAATAAGGATCAGTTATAATATAGGGGGCCAGTGCTGTGGCATAGCAGGTAAAGCCGCTGCCTGCAGTGCTGGCATCCCATATGGGTGTCAGTTTGAGTCCTGGCTGCTCCACTCTCTGCTATGGCCTGGGAAAGCAGTAGTAGATGGCCCAAGTGCTTGGGCCTCTGCACCTGCATGGGAGACCTAGAAGCAGCTCCTGGTTCCTGGCTTCAGATTGGCCCGGCTCTGGCCGTTGCAGCCATTTGGGGGATACACCAATGGACAGAAGACATCTCTCTCTCTCTCTCTCTCTCTCTGCCTCTCTGTAACTTTGCCTTTCAAATAAAAAAAGTTATATACGGAGATCAGCACTTCCTGATCCTGAGCACTGCTGTCCCGCAGGCCTGAGCTCATCATGTTACAGGACTGTCTTCTGCCTCTCGCAAAGCCACGTGCGGCAGGTGCACCAAGTCGTATGCAGTGCGGCTCTGGAGCTGGGCTGTGCTCAGACCTGAGCCCCACCACTTACCAGCTGTGTGGCCTCGGCCTGTGTCTGTTTCCTCCGCTGTAACTGGGCGACTGCTAACAGTGGCAAGCAGTGGCTCCCAGCAGGTGGTGCCTGCTCCCTGTCCTGGGGTCACCCCCTCACAGAGCAGGACACGGGGCTTAGAGCACCACGGCCACAGAGCTCTGAACGTGTCCTGACGCTGCGCACGGTCCTGCCCTGGGCATTCGTAAGACGCGACGTGAGCAGGCTGAGCCTGTTTCCACCTTTAAGTGGGGACAGCGCTCCCCTCTCACATGTGGGGAGGACGCTCAGACCTGTGGCCCAGGTTCCTGCCTTACCCCTCCCAACATACGGGGGATGGGGAGGGGCCCCAGAAAAAGAGCCCCTGTCACAGTGCAGAAGCCGACGCGACTCATCTCCCGTGGGGCAGGTCATCGCACGTGTGGTCACCCAAGGCGGTGACGGCGGAAGCTACAGGTGTAAGCTCTCGGCGTGCTGGTGCTGGCGCAAGGCTCTGGGCCGTGGGGACCGCGGTGCTGCAAGACGGCCTGCAAAGCCCCTGCCTCCCTGCACAGCTTCCCTCCCCTTAGCCCCTTCCAGCCCAGCCCTGGAGCCCCCAGCCTGCGCACCAGGAACTACCATGGCACAGATCCAGAGCCACGCTGCCCGGCCCCTCAGCGCCTGTCTCCGCTCCTGTCTCCACTGCACCGTCTGGAATGCCCCTCGCCCTTCTCTGCGTTTCTGTCTTGAAAACCCCGATCCTTTGTCCCGCCCATGCTCAGCTCTCACGTCCTCCTTACAGTGCTCCGGGGGCACCAATCCCAGCTCCGGGTCACCTGTCACATGCCGCCCTTCTCACTACTGTGCCCCCGTGGTTGGAACTGCCCCTTGTGCCCGCCGGCACCTCCACGACAAGGACCACCCCGAACACGCCTGCGCCCCGGACACCGCCCTGAGGGCCTTGACGTGCTCACCCTTCGTCCACACGACTGCCCTGGGAAACGGCCCTCGTTCCACATGTGAGAAAGCCACAGCACAGAGAAGTCAGGTGCCACGCTCAAGGTCACACAGCAGTACAGGCTGAGGACCACGGCTTGCAGCCCCTGAGCCGGCTCCGCTCTGCATGCTAACCCCATCGAGAAGCTTGGCTCACTGAAAGCCTCATCCTTCAGCATGGACGGAGGAAACGTTACACACGGGGTTACACACAAGGGCCAGACCGTGTGTGAATGGTTATGGCTCCCAAAGAGAGCAGGAGTACAGACTGAGCCCTGGCGTCTGCAGGCAGGAAGATGGGGGCCCCAGGCTCGGGTCTGGCGTGGAACAGTGGTAGGGAGGTCTCCCACAGGTATCTGGGGTGAGGCGTGGAGGAGAGCAATCGAGAGAACCCAGGACCCACGAGCCTGCTCAGGCTAAGGGAGGAGGAAGGTCAGGGGCCGGCACTGTGTAGGTTGAGCCTCCGACTGCAACACCAGCATCCTTATGGGTACAGGTTCGAGTCCCCGCTGCTCCACTTCCAATCCAGCTCTCTGCTATGGCCTGGGAAAGCAGCAGAAAATGGTCCAAGTGCTTGGGCCCCTGCACCCACGTGGGAGACCCAGAGGAAGCTCCTGGCTCTTGGCTTTCTGATCAGTCCAGCTCTGGCCATTGCAGCCATATGGGGAGTGAACCAGCAAATGGAAGACTTCTCTGTCTCTCCTTCTGTCTGTAACTCTGCCTCTCAAATTACTAAAGCTAAATCTTAAAAAAAAAAAAAAAAAAAAAGGTGGTGGGGGAAGGGAGGTCACCACGGGGGTCCCACTGTGTCAGGGCCTGGCCCAGAGCGGGGCCCCTCCGAGTGCCCCAGCCTCTGCCCCCAGCACAGGGGCTGGCGGAGGTGCCTCCCACACACTTACAGCAGTGTGGCCGTGGGAAGGACAGCCTGGCTGTAGGCCAACCTTCCAGGGCTGGCATGAGGGTGAAACGACACAACAGAGGGAGGGTGGCCAGGGTGTTGGCCCGTGTGGGCGCACCAACAGTGGCTACTGGGTGGAAGAAAGGACACGTGCACGCTGGGCCTCATCCTGGAACAACCACAGCGCTGCCAACCGGGAGGGGGCGAGTGGGGCCACAGCTCGGGCTCCTGCTTCCCTCTCCCAGCCCCCCGAGCCCAGAGCCCCGTGCTTCCCACACAGCTACAGGGGGCGGCCACGGCACTGAGGAAGGAGGCACCTCTGGGGCCCCTTCCAACCCCCCCGTGTCTCCTCTAGCTCCCCCAGCCGCCTACGTCGGACCTGCCCACGTGTAAACACCTGCTTTTAGAGCTCTCCCGTCCTGCTCCTCACTGGCCTTGCGAGGGGCCCAGCGGTGACACCAGGTCGTCTGAA